TTTTTAAATGTGTGTAGCATGTACATGACATACTTCATTCCTTCGGGTACCACTAGAAGGAAGCCTGCGTACCACTAGTGGTACACGTACCACATTTTGAGAACCACTGGCTTAATCAATTCACCTAGTGCATGTCTTTGGACTATGGGGAAATTTGTTGAGCACTCATCAGATATGCAATAACAGGTTGAATCCCCATTCAGTTGTATATTTTTCCATAAAATTAAAGTGAATGGAGACTGAAAGGGGAGCAAGATGAGGTGAGTAATCGGATGAGTTATATATTCACTATATGACCAACAAATTATGTCACAAAAGTCTTTTTAGAACTAGCCTTGTCAATATTATCACATCAATCTATGGGACATTCTACCACAAATGTACATTTTTACTAATAAAAATTGTGACAGAGCCTGACGTTTAAGCTTGTCACCCTCAAAAGATTATACATAATCAAGCATAAAATCATACAATTCAATGACTGAATGCATTCTTGATCACTGTCAGCTTCTCCTCAAATGATGTCACTTCCTTTGAGTCCTTAAAGGTGTATTGTACGCATTTTATGTTATGTAAATGTAATTTTAAAGCAAATGTTAACTTAAACTTGATATTTCTGAAGTATTTTTTTCTAAATAACAGTTTTTAGCATAACAAAACTATTAAAGATTCAACTGGGCTGAGGACAAGTACAATCACAGGGTTTGTACATTTGTAAAGTGTTTTTAATAAATAAAAATTAATAAATCTAAAAACCAAATAGATGGCTTGTTCCTTTACCGAACAACTATCTCCAAATCTTACCATAACATATAAGATCTTTTGTATATGTAAATAATAAAAACTATAAGGGACATTCTACCAGAAACGTACATTATCTGTCCCTGAAATAAAAAACATAAATACAGTGAATAAAATGTATTTCATCCCAAAAATTTCTAAAATGGACTGATGGTTGAAGTTGTTCTGTTAAGGAACATGTCGTTTATTTGGTTCTCAGATGTATTCACGTTTTATTAAAACACTTTACAAATGTACAAACCGTGTGTTTGTACTTGTCCTCAGCTCAATTGAATCTACAGCTTTAATAGTTTTGTTATGCTAAAAACTGTTATTTAGAAAAAAAAATACTTCAGAAATAGCAAGTTTAAGTTGTTATCGTTCACATCAATTGATTAAAAACAGGAAGTTATAAATAAATTCTACAAATATATATAATACAAATAAATTTACAATTGTCCCTATGTTTCTGTCCGTCACATTTGCATTAAATTTAACATAAAATGTGTGCAATACACCTTTAAGGCTTTGACTCGGAAGTGACATCATTTGAAGGATGCGTTCAATGACACAATTTATTGATATATCATTAATTTGTATGTTTTAAATTAAATACATCTTATTCACTGTACTTATGTTTTTATTTCAGGGACAGATTATGTACGCTTCTGGTATTATGTCACATATTTTTTCTATAAAATTAAACTGAATGTAGACTGAAAGTAAAACAATGAAGTGAGTAATTGGATGATTTTATATATTTACTATGACCAAACAATTACGTAACAAAACTATTAAAGCTGTAGGTTCAATTGTTGAGGACAAGGACAATGACTGAGTTTGTACATTTGTAAAGTCTTTTTAATCATATATATATATATATATATATATATATATATATATATATATATATATATATATATATATATATATATATATATATATATATATATAATAAATCTGAGAACCAAATGAATGACATATTCCTTTACAGAACAACTCACAGAAATCAACCATCAGTTCATTTTAGGAATTTTTGGTAATTGTTGTTTTTACTATTTACATATACAAAAGACCTTACGTTATGACATGAAAATAATATAAGAAACTATATGACTCCAAATATAAAATTATTTTAAAAGCAAATGAAGGTTTGAAGTGTTTGTGCTTTAAAACGTACACTGAAAATATGCAAAAACCCATTGACAAAACACAAATATTCAATAAATAATCCAAATCCAAGCGTGACAGGCTTTAATACAATATCAAACAAAGACATAATTTATAGGCTTATATATTTATAATGTTAAGTTATTTGTGAGGAATTATATGCAAATGTCAACCTTGTTATGAAAAATTTTTATTTTTACCAAAATTTCACATCTGTCACATCCATAACAAAGCTTTTTCCTCATAAATACAAAATAAAATAAAATCCATATATATATATTTTTTTGGATCTGACTCTAATCCTTTTGATTAGCATTGTTGCTACCTTTTTTGGTCACATATCAATAACACATGTTTACCTTAATATATAAAAAAATTCACATATTGATTTTTTGATCCCATAATTCTGTGGTGACTTGTACTGGAAAACAGATCTTTCAATATAAGGTTAACAGTGCTTTTATTTTTTGAGTTTTTACTGCAAATATAGGGTTTATGCATGTTTCCCCAATTTAAATTTAAGACTTTTAAAAACATTTTTAAGACCATCATGAATGAAATTTTAGACTCATTTAGCCTCACAAGGGCTAAACATAAGGAATTTTTCAAAAACCGACCTGTAAATTGATTGATGTAATGCTGTTTAAATTTCTCTGGAAGAATAAAACGCACTATGTTAGAAAATCAGTTATTTTAAATTCCTATAATAAGGGCGGCTTAAACTTCATAGATTTTGATTCACTTAACAATACCTTAAAAATAAATTGGCTTAAACGCTTTCTCCACAATCAATCTTCTATTTGGAAAGTAATTTTTCTCAATTAGGAGGCATTGACTTTTTATTAATGTGTAATTTCTCAATTAACAAACTTCCTATCAAACTTTCCAATTTTCATCAGCAAATGCTTCAGGCTTGGAAACTTATTTAAAAGCACAATTTCTCGCCACACAAGTTTTCAATTTGGAACAATTGTAATATTTTACAAAAAAGGAAATCTATATTCTTTAATAATTGGTTCAGTAACAGGGTGATATTAGTAAAACAGTTATTTGACAGTAATTGTAATTAATTTACTTACTCTGTTTTTACTGCAAGATATACTCTTGCCATATCTAAAAAAGAATTTAATATCGATTGTAAGGCCATCTCCTCTGAAATCTGTATGCTTTTTAGAAATAATAATAATAATTCATTGATTTCTGCTTGTTCCCTTAGTCCTGATTCTACTGTAGTTGGTTCGATTTGTTTCTCACTAAAAAATCCAATCATAAAATCAGATCTTTATTTTTGGACCTTATCATCTCAAATCCTATTTCTTATTGGAACAACCTCTTTGATGATATTAAATGTTCGTATGTCTGGTTGCTCCCCCAGAATTTTTTTTTTAACAAATAAAATTAAAGAAATATCCTTTAAAATTATTCACAGGTTTTATCCCGTTAAACAATTTTTTACAAAAATTCAAAAATGACATAGACATCTCTTGCTCTTTTTGTGAAACCTCTTCTGAATCTGTTGCTCACTTGTTTTGGGAGTGTCCCACTGTTAAATCTTTTTGGTCGGATGTAAACTCTTTAGTTGTCCAAAAGGTTTGTGTTGATTTTTCTTTAAGCTATCGACATGTTATTTTGGTGCTTTACATTAAAGGAAAATAATTCCTTAATTCAACTTTTTGCGTAAACTTCATTTTATTTTTCAAAATTTTTCAAATGGCCTAAATGGAAAAGATTAGTTTATTTGCCCTATCAAAAATAAATAAATAAATAAATAAATAAATAAATAAATAAATAAATAAATAAATAAATAAATAAATATATATATATATATATATATATATATATATATATATATATATATATATATATATATATATATATATATATATACATATACATATATATACTTTAAATACATTTAATAATACAACCATACATTGTTAATAAAAATATTTATTTTACTAAATACCAAATTTACTACATTTATTATTTTATTAAATAGTGTGCAAAACAAGATCTACTTATATCTATACACTTTTTTCCAACATAAATTTTCTTTAAAATAAAAAAACATGAACTAATGTTTTAAAATTTATACAAACTATAATAAACTAAATATATGCACAACAATCAGTCCAAGCTGGTGTCCTCAGCCGTAAATACACAAAGCACTTTTCAACAAATGTTATTGTAAGGAAAACAATAACCCATTATGGTAACTAGAGGTAAAAATGACCTTTTTGAATAATAAGTTTAAAGTTTCATTGAGTTGGATTGTTGGTGATTGTATGGGCTTTGGACAGGTTAGCAATGAACAAAGGGAAATTAAGACCTCTTTAAAATTGATTTAAGATCTACAACACCATATTTCAGTAAATGTAAGACTTTTTAAGGCCTAAAAATTGGATTTTGAGATTTAAGACATTTTAGGACTTTTTAAGACCCTGTAGGAAATATCACATTCATAATACTGGAAATGCTCTTGTGCAAAACCCATCACTGACATACGTTTAGCCTAGCTCCTAAAGTTGCTGTTTTTATAGGAAGGAAAAACAGAATAAACAGTAGTCTAAACACCTTTTTAAAGCAGATCCGAAGTGAGTATGATTAAAAACGACAGACCTGACTGCCTTTATAAGTGGTGAGCTGTTTTGATGTTGTGCCACTAGTTGTCGCTACCCATTTTGTTTTTCTCATATATCAGTTGACCTCTTCTGCGCAAATTTTACTCACTGGAACTACTTCTTTAAGAAAGAGGTGAAATATCACTCCGCGTCACGTCCGCTCTTTTACCTGCATCACTTGTACAACTATTTACAATTCGACATTACACGATATGCAGACCACGTTTAAAACACGTGAGAAATAATCATCCATTAACTGTTACACACAGAATGATATTCAACCCTACTCTTTATTAAATCTGATAAGTTCAAGGAACTAGTTTACATGTTACTCGAGAGGCGTGGAGGGATGAGACAGTGCTCGCATCCAGTCAAGTACGTGTTTTCCCAACTGAGATCAATGGATCTTGAGAGAGTTGTGCTTAGGTTGTGATGAAACCAAGATGGCGTGTAGTTCAGACAGGATGAACGGTGGATAGGTGACGGGGAAGGAAACACTGGAAAACAACGCGTATTTTGTGCTCGCGCACGAAAACGGTTATTATAAAGAAAACGTCAACTTACACGGGACGTTCAGGAGTCTGTAAAAAGAAGATCTCCGCGAACATCATCCCTCTAAGCGACCGAGAGAGTGTGTATGTGAGTGAGTGAGTGAGTAAATGTGTGTGTGCGCGCTGGGATGGGCTGATCGAGGAGGCCGCAGAGCCACTGCCACCCAGAGACTGACCCTCTACCGAACAATAGACCCCGTGATCATCATCATACAAGATCCAGAAAGACACAAATAATAAAAAACACCGGCTCAGGTGTCACCGAAGAATAAGAAGAACTCACATCAAGTGAAAAAAATGTAAGAGTGTGGTGCTCAAATTCAACCAACTCTGGTGGCAGAATTTATGCTGATTTAGCGCTAGTGTTTATTTTTAGTCTCGTATATTGGATCAGATGGGCCACTTAAATGTCACACATCATTTACCTGCGACTCGAGACGACTATACTTTCTTCAGCCCGGTGTCTGTTTTCCCGACTCGGGCATTCGGTGGGATTTAAGTCCTTATGTTTGCTCCTATTAACCCTACTGGATTTAAAATCTGTCTTATTTAAGTCTTCAGACTCTCGGATATTTCGACGTTTGTTATACTTTTACGTCAAATCAGCCATTTGTTGGATTTGGCGTGGGTTTGCTGACACACGGGTGGTGAGGCTTTATTGTTTTGATCATTAGCTGGACAGCTAACTTGCTAGTTTTATAGAAACGCGTTCCTAGCATATCCCAAGAACAAGTAATTTTCAACAACAATGATTAAGGGAGCCAGTTTCACTACATTGTGCGGTTTGCTTGCTATTCTGATGAAAATTATGTGATTTTCCTCGAATCCCACCCGAGCTAAGGCCGGTTAACATTAGTAAGCTAAAGCTAAGGGAAATGGGGATTATGATTGTCTCATGCCTTGGTGATGTGTATCTCAGAAAGCAGTTTTAGCCACCATATGCGCCTTATTCATTGGTTTTAGATAATTAAATTTGTCTAGGTTGACAACGTACTAGAGTCTGAGAGAAACGACCATCGTTTTTAACTATTCTGTCAAACCATTGTCAAGAACAAAATATAATCGAATAGCTCAATTTAAGATAATCTGATCCATATATCATTTGAGGGAGACAAGTGAATACTACTAGGTTATGACTGTTTATACACATAGGATATTTTCATAAGTCTCGTCTATCTGATTAAAGGTTAATGTAGTGGTTTAGCTTAGAAAATGAAGTGTGAACCGTTTTACGTCACGTGATCATTTTGTGCTCTAATTCACAACATGGAAGATGACAGTATGGACTTTTAGTGTAGGTTTTGTTAAGTGTCGTATAGTCTTATAGATATAAGCCATGTTTTACTTTTATAATGTGCACGTTTGATGAACCAAATTGCTCTGGAGGTTTATTTGTTTTTCAGAATCCAGACAAGGCCTAAATGTTTCACTCCCTCCCCCATACTGTCTGTTCTCAGACTCAAAGGAAGGCTGTGTCAAAAGCAGGGGATTTTTTTGTTATTAAAGGGAATGATGTTTCATTATAATTAAAGTGGAATATTGTTCTTTTCTAAGTGCAGTTTTGAGAAATGAGTTTCAGTTCTCTTTGTATCAAAGTGACTTTTTATTGTCCTCAAAAGTTTTAGATAATTTAAATGGATTCTTCATTAAGACTTACGTCAGGCATGGGGCGGTATAAGTTTCTGACGGTATGATAAACTTGGATAAAAGTATCACAGTGTCACAATATTGTTAACTGCTGTAAATATATATTTACATGTCTTAGTAAAAAAAATTCTTCCATTTAACACAATGTTACTTTTTGGGAAAGATAATATTTTGGAACAGTCAACATGTCAGGCTACATAATTAAAATAAACCATTGACTTCTACTTATCTTCATTAGCTTCAAAAACACAGATTTCCTTACAACATATTAAAACACTTTAAAAGCCCTCTACATACATCTTGTAAATGGTTTAACAAAACATTTTTGCGGTTTTAATACCTTGACCTTTCCAAACCGCAGTAAATCCTGAAACCGGTTATCATCCCATGTCTAATCAAGACATGTTTCACTGGGTTTTAGTACTTCATTTTGAAGAAGATGATTTATTTGTACTCCATTAATCTAGCACTAGTGTACATATGGTCAGTTTTTTTGTATCTTGTATGATTGTTTTTTAATCAAGGTAATTTTTAAAATCCAACTCGATTTATGCCAGCTTTTTTTATTCAATTAATAAAATTAATCTTGTGCAAGTTCATTTGACTCTTGTTGTATGAAGAAAGCCAGCAGGTATGTTTTTCTTATCGTTTTGTAGGTTAAAAATGGTTTTAACTTCAGTTTTTCTTTTTTTCAGAATGATGGATGTAGGGGAGGAGTTTGTTCCACCACCTGAATGTCCAGTATTTGAACCATCATGGGAGGAGTTTGCAGATCCATTGGGATATATTGCCAAAATCCGTCCAATAGCAGAAAAGTCTGGAATATGCAAGATTCGTCCACCACCCGTAATTATCTTATGGCTTTTTAATTTGACTGGACATTTTTGTAGATTTCTGTATAGTTCTATAAATTCTTTTACAATTTACTCACCATCATGTTATCCGGTTCTTAAGTCTGACATCATCTGATGCAGATTCCGGGTCCCAACCACTCTGTCAAACTAAAGGAAGTGGCTGGTACTAATGAATGTTTACAGAGCTCTGTACTTACACTTTTGAAAATCGTGATCATACATATTAGGATGCTTATTTAATAATGAAACTATCAGATGGCCAGAAAGGGATTACGTTTTTGTAAATAGGGTATATGCAGAGCTAGTGTTTCTTCCCATACTGATAAACTTCCGGTGAACGGTTAATGTGACTTTTTCCATTTTATACAGTTCCTTTTACAGCATCAACATTGTAATGCAATTAAAATATAATCAGTTGAATAGACTTTGCCATTTATTTTGATTGCTCAATCATAAAACAAGAAATAAATCCGTTTACACGCACGCGCCCGTCAGGATTAGCAGTTTAGCGCATAAGCTCCATTGAATATACTAGGGTAAAATAAATGTTCATATTTTAAAGACATGGTGGGGAAAATGTAATTTAATGTAGTGCTTCTTGTACAATTTGAGACCCACTTTAAATCAGATATCCCTCAGCCAGTGAAGATCACAGCTTGCCGATTTTGTAATGGTATACAGTTCATCGGAAGTCCATCCACATACTTCTGCTGTCCGCATATACCCTATTGGCAGGGCCAGACGGAATCTGCGGACGTTTTTTGCTATTTCTGCTGAGAATTTTGGTTAAAAATCTGCGGATATCTGCGGAATGATTTTGGAAGTATCATAGCTAAAACCTTTATATATGAAATAAAAAGCAATACCTTTTTAACTTTTATTTAATGTTTAAAATGCAAATCCAATTAGTTTCACTTTATTAGTAAACAAAGCAAGTCTCTCATATAATACAATTTAATTATTGTTGATTTTAAATGCAATAAATCTGTAATAAATCATATAATACAGGGCTCGAAATTAAGCTTTTTGCTTGGCACCGGTACCGGTGCGTCTTACTTTAAAAATTTAGACGCATCAGCCAAAATTTAGTCGCACTTAAGCACCGTTACTACAAGTTTTATACAAACAGATTTATTGCATTTAAAATCAACAGTAATTAAACTAACAAGCAAAAAAATATATACATGCAAGCGTGAGGAAAATATGTCTTAACGAAATCCCGTTATCACAAGAAAATACATTTCTGTAACATAACTGAGTGAGCAAAAGCTATATGGAGCGCTCACCAGCCTTGCACGCACTACTTGACATGAATGAATCTGTTAACCATATAACTGTGCTGTTCTCACGGATGGTGTCTGATATTGCACTGATGTTTATGTATATACTGTACCTTATTATATGCATATGTCATGTTAATAGCCATACCTGTCTTCATGAGTAGCGATTAGTTTTCTCGGCGCAATTCCGTTTGCGATGGTGTACGTGGTGTTACATTTTACATATAGCAGACACTTGCATAGCGGACAGCATCTAGCGATTATATAAAGGATTAAACAGAACCTCTCGTGCTAAATGTGGCAAACAGTTACCTGAAAATTCCATCCCACAGACTTATCATAGCGTACCTGAAGCCAACGGAAGTCTTTTATTCACTCTTCAAAAAGTGTAGATGGTGGATTAACATTCAGCACATGATCACTAGTAAGATGTGTCATTATTTGTAACTTTAGATGCGCGCTTTACAGTTTTGCGCGGTAGTAGCTCTCCCTGTCATCCCGAGCCAGAAGGCATTGACTAAGGGATTGACAGCTGATATTTCAGTGCTAGAGCAGTGGTGGGGAAATAAGAAGAGCGCGAAGGCGGGGCAAGCATTACAGACTTGGCTTTGTTTGCTGCAGCAAGTTGACATGACAACTGTTTGAAACCATTCCTGAGCACTACGTTTCGCATTTCAAGAGCAAAGATGCATTCTGCGTGAATGTCTCCCAAATCCGCGCATGTGCTGAACATTTTGCAGTAAAAACTGGTCGCGCACAACAATTTTATGCACTCGCAAAAATGCTCCCAAATATATTTTAAGGTTGCATAGATAAAATTTCGGGCGCTTATGCGACCAAAATGGTCGCAATTTCAAGCCCTGTAATATCTCTACTAAAGATAGAAAATATGACTGTACAAACTGCATTGTACATAAATCTGATGTACATTTTCATGTTAGTCAATAAAATTACTTTAATTGATTAAAAAAACTGAATAAATACAGATTTACACACACTTAAGGCTGATTTATACTTCTGCGTCAAACGCCGTCGTATGCTACGGCGCTGACGCATAGCCCTTCGCCGTGGCCATCGCCGTCGCTGACGTGCACCTCTCAAAAAATTTAACTACACGTCGCACGTCCGCCGGTTCCTGCCTCAAAATGAGCGAGTTTGAGCCACTTGTACATCCCGGAAGTGTTCAGGAAATGCAAAAAAGTAGCGAAGAAACTTGACACAGAGGAACATTTACACCTCACTGCCAACTAGCGTTTCGGAAGTGTTAATGCAGACCGACAGAGACAGCGCGCAGGAAGTATAAATGCACAGCCACGCGCGTTGCCTGCGCCGTGGGTTACGCCGGTCACCTGACGCAGAAGTATAAATCAGGCTTTACTCAAGTAAATAAACAGAATTATTGATGGACTAAAAATCTGCGGAATTCTGCGCACGCAGATTCCGTGTGGGCCTACCTACGGGTGAAATATTGATGTCTATGATGCAGCTAGTTCAGAGACTGTAGTATACGCCATAAATTTGTAAGTGATTCACTTTAATATGACTAAAAGGTGTTCATAAACAACTGTTTTCTCAGTTCAGTTGAGTAGCAGCTTGGATCCAAAACAGTTTTCCATCTGTCATGACTCAACAAGTGGATTTCAAACCTGCATGACTGATTCACTGTGGAGCATAAAAGAACACATTAAAATAAGGTTATTAAAACAGTTGACTGTTCAGGGCTCAAAATTAACCTTTTTGCTTGGTAGTATGGCGCTCCTAACTTAAAAATAATTGAATAAATTAGTTTAATTATAGTGAATGCAAGCCATTTCCGATGTGTACGCGATGTTACATTTTACATATAGCTGCCAGCCACTTGCGCGGCTGACAGCATTCTGACAATTAAATGAAGGATTAAACAGAACCTTTGACACTTAAATTGTGTAGATGTGGTGCTGTTACCTGCAAACTACACAGGCTTTATGGCGAGTCATTTTCGAAGTGAACTTTTACCCAAGGGAAGTCTTTTATCCACTCTTCGAAAAGTGTAAATGGTGGATTACGTTCACCACATTATCACTAATCATATGTGCCATTATTTGTTACTTTAGGAGGTTTCTAAAACAAAATCTGTCAGTGTTGTTTTAATTTTCTCATCTTCTGCGCTTTACACTTTTGTGGCTATAGCTCCCTGTCATTGACTTAGTGATTGACAGCTGATATTAACCAATCCATTCACATTCAGTTCTCGAGCAGTTGGCCAATAAGAAGAGCTTGAACGCAGGGCAAGCATTGCAGGCTTTGTTTACCGCAGCAAGTTGACTCGACAACTGTTAAAAATTATCCCTGATTTCTGCGCTTTGCATTTCAGGTGCAAAGAAGATGCATTCTGCATGATTTTTTTAAAATGATTTATAGTGAAACCTGTTTGCACGGCAAAAACTGTATGCACTCGCACAAATGCTCCAAAATAAATTTTGAGGTCACATAGATTAAATTTTAGGCATGTATGCGACCAAAACAGTTGCAATTTTGAGCCCTGTTGTATGTGATGACTTAAGATTCATTCACCCTAAGGGGGTGATTACACAGATTGTGCTTTTTGCAATGAGCGACACCTTTTCTGAATGGTTTTCTAATGCTGCGTTCACACCAGACACGGATGAAGCATCAAGCGCAAATGATTTACATGTTAAGTCAATGCAAAGACACGAATAGACATCCAGCAGCGTCATACACGCGAATGATTCTCGAGTTGGAAAACCTAGAAAAATTCTACGGATTTTTGCGCCACGTTAACTAATCAGGAGCTTTCTATTGTAGGGGTGAGATTATAAGGTAGCACCTGTTGTTGGTGTCCCGAGTGGAAATGCTCTTGCGGACACCGGACAACAGTTCATCAAACTGGGCTCGGCTTGGTGTGATGCACCACTGAAAGCTTCCATCATTCAGATATAGTTTCTGGAGGAGTTGATGAACTCACAGAGCTGAGTGCACCTCAAGGATCTAGTGCACTCCGAACAAATATACGCTGTTTTTCAGTCTTTCTAAAGCACATAAAGCACAGCTAATATCTCAATAAAATCCATGTTAGCCATTTAGCAACAAAGCTAGTGACCGGGCAGACAGGAGCCTTGCCCTTGACGTAAATCCGCATCTATTGTGAAGTAAATTTGACGCACGAATGAAACAAGTAAACTCAAAATTGTCACGTGTCTATTTACGTATTTAATAGCGTGATTGATTTTGTGCATTCCACAGAAAAGTAGAGGCAGGGTTTCTGTGGAGGTGAAAGCAGCGTTTAGAATGTCAAAACATGCTATAAACTATAGAGACATTTAAAGAGTGAGAGACTAGGGCTGCACGGTTTACCGGTACTTCGGTAGCACTTGCTATACTATGACTCCAAAATATTGGCGGTGCCACTGTAGTTTGTAAACAGTAGCATTTTCATTAACGGTACTACTACATGTTGTATGCGGAAAAGACACAAAAATGCTCAAACTCTTGTGTCAACAAATAATCAGTAGACCACTTTATTTTACTTTTATTTTAACTGTGTGTATGGCGTGATCAATTATTTGATAATTTTTTTATTGCAATTACAACAAAAGAGTCACAGTATATACAAAAAAGCAGAGAAAGTCTGTACAACAATATTTTCCTTTATTTTCAATTCTGAATAGAGTTTAAGTAATATGACATAAAAATAGTAATTCTGACAATTTACTACATTTCCTAGATTTGAGTTATGAATTAATGCAGTACTGCGATACTACTAGGTATTGTAATATTTCAGGTGATATAGTATCGTGGCCTGTATTGATGGTATCGAGACTAGTGGTCACTGTTTCAATTTATCCAGAGTTGTATGACATCACAAAATGATTCAGTGATTGTCTAGCGCAGCACACTCATTTTCTTCTTGTCAACAAAAATATGCAGTGCGGTGTGCCTCATGTTCTTAGAGCAGAAATTTGTGTTCTGTGTGATCGGCTCCTAATATGATTCAATTATCAGCATTCTTCAAAATATTACATTTTGTGTTTAACAGAATGTTTTCCTTTGGTTGATCTAAACCTTAAAGGTTGCAATGTTTTAAAAATAATTAAGCTTTGCAAGTTAGGGCCCATTGACAGGAAAAGGTTTTCAGCTATATGTCTGTATGTCATATGACTGTATGTCTTTGCCTGTTAATTTACACAACAATAGTGGCGTTTTGTGACTTTAAAATGTTTTAGTCTGAAAAAGTTAAAAAGTGGATGTATTTGAAAGCACCACCATTGTCTTGTCCATGTTAAAACCCGAACACAAGAGTCTTTGAGACGTTGATGTCACGCATGTGGACAGTAAATGCTTAGGGAAGTACAGATTAAAGGCAAGCACCAAAAAGTACATAGCAGTAGTGTTGGTGCTCGTTTGCTAATTCTTCATCAGCAAAATGAGAATTTACTTTGCATTACAACCAGCAGCATAGATGCATCTCTGCCAAAATTTTACATATGCACCAGCACAGAGCCACTGACTGCACATCATTACTTTCCTAGTTGCAAAATACTGGCCTTGCAAAGTTTTCCATTTTTGGCTGCATCATTGTTGTGTAAACATGACCTCAAGCAAACATTTCTTTTTTTTTTCCAGGACTGGCAGCCACCGTTTGCTGTGGAGGTGGACAATTTTCATTTCACACCCCGTATTCAGAGGCTCAATGAGCTAGAGGTCAGAGCTGCTTCCTGCTGAAATCATCACACACCCGTCTTACTTCATGAAGCATGACCTCGATGATCTTATGTTGACTAAGCACTTTAATACATCTGTTTGTTCTCAGGCTGAGACACGAGTAAAGCTGAATTACCTAGACAGAATTGCCAAGTTCTGGGAGATCCAGGGATCCTCTCTGAAGATCCCCAATTTAGAGCGACGTATTCTGGATCTGTTCAGCTTGGCCAAGGTGAATGCTGCTGTCTTTTATTAAATTTATGTCCAATTAATTTTTTTTTATATTACCTTTTATGGAATGTGCAACGAAACTATGTGTATATGGTTTAGGTCAGCAAAGTTTATATCTAAGTACGCAATAAATGACCTTGGATTAAAAAAAAAGAATAGTTTCTGCACTGCTGAAATGAGTTTCCAGTAATTCTAGTTTCACTTCCATAAAGGATTTACATAAATCTGTTAGAAATTTGCATAATGTGACCCATCGGTCTTGATTAGCTACCCACAAACAACATCTGCTTTATACACACACCCACAATTGTTTATTTTGCTCATTCTATCAAGACCATTTTGAACAGAATTTGTACTTAAGACAAAACTTTTATTGTTGTGTGATTTATTCACTTAAAGTAATATCCCATTACAATCATTCAAGCTGAACAATGAACTTTTTACTTGCTTTGTGGCTGCAGTGTGATGAGAAAATTAGCAAGAGAGCAGAATTTCATTTTGGTCACATTTTTGCACCAATCCCTGGTTTATTTCCAACCCTGCCATGAACATATACTTGTTATTGCAGATTGATTCAAATGGAATCACAAGAAAATGTAAACTTTAGTAAAAAGTAGGGCTGCACAATATATCGTTTTAGCATTGATATCGCAATGATATCTATATCTGCAATAGTCACATCACAATGTTGAGTGAATTATAGTAGAGCAGGAGCTACAGAACAATGTTTAATCACTGTATGTATACAGAATTTATATGATTTATGCCAGAAATAATTTTTCTTACTTTGATTTTTTGTCTTGTTTGTAGTCAAAGTATCTACATTTCCAAATTGAAAGATCATTTTACTTACACCACTGGCAGAAAATTTAGCTTGTTTTAAGAAAACAATCATATTTTCTTCTGACAGTGAAAATGAAACACTATTTCTTTTACTTGCTCTAAGAAGTTTTTTTATATTTGGACTAGAAACAAGATAAAACAAAGCAGGAAAAGCATTTTTTGCAGTATTTAATTTCTGCACCTGAATACTGTTAGACTCCCCAGAAAACCGTCAAATAATGCTATTCAATATAGCCTTTGAAACCGTATTCATATTGAAATATTTATCACAGAAAAAAAAGCTCAAAATATTTTTTAATATCGTGCAGTCCTTTTTTTTTACTTTTCTGCATGGGGCTCAGGCCTAAATGCTAGGTTTAGTGATGGTTTTAAACTTTTGAAAATATTTGAAGCTCTCATTGAACCAATTGCTTCACAGAAAGCATTTCAAAAAGTTGAAATGACCTTGCTAAATTTTTGCATGCTCTGAACCACCGTTTCAAAACAAAAGATTCTTAAAGGATTTAAAGCTTCAAGTAGCAGTTAAAAGACAGCCATTTCTAGATAATATCAGTGGTGTCTAGCCTTAATAGAGGATAATGCTGTGGATTGGTTAAGCCTTCAGTACTGAAAGTCTGATTTTTTAATGAAAGTTTAATTTACGACACATGCTAATAGTGGTAGACCAATCAGAACTGATTGAATGGTTACAAGTTGCTTGATATTCTGTGAATAATCTTTTTATTTTTTATTTTAAAACAAAATAAGGGCAGTTTTAAGTTATCGAGTCACTGTAATTCAACAGACTTGATGATGGCAAAACAAGATGGTGGATGGTTAGCAGTACTTGTATTGACGTTTACTAAACATCCTAACTGTTTCATGGGTCTACTGTATACAACAGCATGAACTGAAAATACAATTATTCGAGTCCATAACTCACACATTTTATGACTTGTGTGGTAGATTGTCACAGAGGAAGGGGGCTTTGAGTCTGTGAGTAAGGAAAGGCGGTGGGCTCGTGTGGCACAGAAACTCGGTTATCCTCCTGGTAAAAACATTGGCTCTCTCCTGAGGTCCCACTATGAGAGGATTGTGTATCCATTTGAGTTGTTCCAGTCTGGAGCCAGTTTACCGGTATGGTGTTTGATTTACTTTTCATTTTACTTAATTTTTATACACATCACTGAATAAGTTTAAATGCACACAATTGTTTCGCTCTAATACATTTTCTTTGTTTTTTGTCGTATAAATGTATCCATTTGTTTCATCTTTAGTTTGTTTAGCTTTGATAACTGGACATTTGTTCTTTTGAGCAAATGCATAAATGTACATCACAGTACATTTTTTTAAATCAGTACAAAGAAATCCAATTGCTCTGTATTAGATAAAGACAGTATTTGACTATGCATAATCTATATATGTATATCACAACATGAATTAGAATTAATAAACTGTTTAAAATTAGAATTACAAAGTGGACTCATGGGCTTGTCTTTTAATCTGAATAAGCTTGTTATATGTGCTCAATTTTCTCTGAAGCAATTGAATGTGTTTGTTTTACTCATCTAGCCACGTAAACCCAGGCAATATGACAGTGATGAGGTAGACCGAGAATACAAACCCCACTCCATTCCTTTGCGTCAGTCAGTGCCACCATCCAAGATGAGCAGCTATGGACGAAGGGCCAATCGCCTTCAGCCTGAGGTGAGTGATATTACCACTGTTTTTTAAATGTTTTGTTAAACTGAAAAAAAAATAGTGATGACAAAGTGTTGTGTATTATTTACAAATGTAGGTTATGTGTAAAAATCAATGTTTACATGTTATATGTCCTAAAATGCCACTAAACTGGTCCAAAATCTACTAGTCCAAGCCTGATTTTGAGTAAATGTAATAGATGCATACTGATAGTTTTAACCCTAGCTTTAAATTGCTGTAGAGCTGGCCAGTGTTAAAGGATTCATCCAAGTATTTGCTTTGTTTTAGCGCTTTTGGATTAGCATTGACCATGCTCTCAAGGCATTTCCTAGCATGCTTCGCTCCCTGTGCAGTTAAAAGAAAAGAGAAAAAAAAACATTGTCCATCTTTTCTTCATCTCTCTCTCTCTTCTTTCGATCACTCTCTGCTTTTCATTCGTTGTGCTGTCTATTTAAAACCATTGACCATAAATAAACCTAAAAGTTTCATTACATATTCAATTCCTATCCCAGTCATTTCCCACTATTTATTTTGCAAGTGTTTGGCTTTTTAATTTGCCTTTCCATTACTTTAGCTTGGTTAATGGATTCACAGCATTAGCAATGATAAACGTATTTGTAGTATGATATAACCACAAACATCTTCATAGTTTTCAGACTTGGAGAAAAACCTTCTGTTGTCTCTTTAACATTGGTTGTCCTTTCTTTCAACAATAACATTTAGTAAACTACCAGGAAAATGTTTGGACACGCTTGACTGGATTTGTTGAAGATGATTCTTATGCATGAATACTTTTTTATGTTAAACATGTATTGTTGACCAAAATGAATTGTGCCTAATTTTATTATGTGAATTATAAGCATCTTCCATTGGTACGTGTGAAAAGTTAAAAGTCATCCCAGAAAAAACATCTGAAAAGTCTAAAATGTGCAGTGCTGATAAGAAATGGAATGTAGTTGGCATTTAAAGGTGCCCTAGAGTGCATTGATTCAATTAAGGCATACTCTCACTATGCACAGTTGCCTTGAACCAGGCCAAAGCACGCTTGTCCCATTCCCGTCTTCCCCGACATCCCGCAATCACATTACATTTGGGCCTGGACACGCTTACGTCATCATGATGCGCTGTTTAGTAGAGAAGCGCTCGCACTTAGCAAAGTGGAAATTTCTTTAGTTATATTGTTTTAGTCGGGATGCAGTGACACACAGTCAAAGATTTCGCTGAACAGATCAGCCACTTTTGACGCTCATAAACAATCAAAGTCCTCGTGCTGCAGAAAATTAGGAGGTTTGCTGAAGATGCAGCTGTCGTGCAGTAAGGGGTTTGTGTCTTTATTAAACTCTGATAGTTTGTGTTCATTGCACAATAAGAATGATTAATAAATCCATATCAAACAGTCCCTTAAAAGTCACGTCTTGCTTTAGTTTCGGGCTCAGGTGCGTTTCACACTCACACAAACATACCGCGCCAAAGCCCAGTGAACCGTGCTCTGGCACATCTCCTCCAACCGGGCCAGGGCTGGTCAAGTGAACCATGCCTGAGCCCAATTCAGAGCACTCGCACTTCTCAAACAATCCGAGAAACAGGCGATATCTAATGTAAATATCTATGCTCAGCAGTCTACATGTGTTTGTTACCTCATAACAAACACACACACGCCACCTATTAAAAGACTAAACAAAGTTTTAGTGTATGCACATAGCGCCATTCAGCATCTGTTCACATCAAAGTAAGAGTCCTACGGTTTTAGTATGTTTAATGTAAGCTTAGATAAGCTTAAAAATAAGGGGAAAGATGTTCATTGTTGTAATCTCATTAGGGAATGTTGTGGCCAATCAAATAGCCTGGGGTTTGTATTTTAATCATGCCTTGTGCAACAAAACTGTCAGTGTTTTATACTTGTTGGGTTAACACGAGAACGTGGAAACAATTGTTTGAAGCTAACAGTATGGCCCAATCCCAATTCTATATTTGTACCCCTTCCCCTTGGCCCTTAAAATCTAGTGTTCATCGAGGCTTCAAAATTTAACCCTAAGAAATGGGACAGCACTATAGAACCTTTAAAATATTTTGGAGTAATAAACATGTCAGGCTAAATAAATAAAATGAATCATTGACTTTTGCTGTCTTAGTTTTAATAACAGTTTTTTTTTTTATTATTAAAAATTGCATCTTTGAATGGAGATCTACAGAAAAGTAAATAAGAAAAATTTACACATACCTTGAAAACGTATAACAGAAAATTGTGGCCATTTCAAAACCTTGACTTTTACAAACTGCGGTATACCTTGAGAACGGTTAGGGTCCCATGGCTAGTCATCACTATCTCATGCTTCATATGAGATAGACGATCGCGACTGCTGTAGTTTTTCCAGTTGCTTTAATTTTTGGTAGTTATCTTCAAGAAATCACTGAAGACATTGTTATCATAACAATATAATGTGGCAATAAGATCGTAAAACTGTGCATTTACACCATGGCTATATTCATCTATGTAAACACATCAAAACAATAGTAACATTCTACCAGACACTGTAAAAAGCCCATTCCCACGCTCTAGAATTTTCTGACAGGGTATTCGAGTGTCAGAATGCTGTGGGACTGCTATACAAGAGTTATTATTAGATATCATAGATAGCGAAATTTAGCGGTTTTATTTTAGCGTTTTTTTTTTCTTTTTTTTTTTCTTAAGCATGACAGTAAAACATGTATGCAGTTATGAATTTATTAAAACGTATGTCTGTTTGTTGTAAAAATTCGTAATAATGACAAAAAATACTAATTTGTTGATCGCCTTCTGCCGTTGTCGCTGGTGTATGACATTTTTTTACTGCTTGGTTTTGAATATGTTCCTGAAAAATCTCCAGTTAAAGGGCTATTTAGTTACCAGGTTCCTATACATTTGGGTTATTTCACAAAAAAATACGAAGGGGTGTCCAAACTTTTCACTGGTATCTTACATAAAATATGTATATATTGCTATTTAAGTTATTTTAAATCTATTGAGAAACTGATGAACAGATGTTATCTGTTTAACAATCATGTGCAATTACGACAAATAAATCAAACTGCTTCAACTGAATGGTTGTGCAGTTTCACACTGATACAGGATTACTTGATGTTTTTGTCTTAATGATATTAATCATTTAAGTGTTTTAACACACTTAAAACATGAAATTACAAATTTTTAGGAGGCTACTGTCCCTGGATTGGCTCTGTCCTGTCGCACATGGTTGTTGTTTTTTTCCCCTCCTGTCTCTCTCTGGAGTCCATTTTGTTTTGGTTATTGTCTCCCCATGCAGGGTCCCGAGGATCCAACTCACCACCCTCTTACAACTGGCTCTCAACACATCTCCTCGGTACTGCCTCGCTCTTTCTAGCCCTCTTTCTTGCCTTCCCTCTATTCTTTCCTTTCCTCCCTATCCCTCACTTTCTTTCTTTCTTTCTTTCTTTCCCTAACATTCTCTCATGCTTTCAAAAAAAAGCTCTTGCTGTTGTTCACGCTTAGCTGGGTGTCTGATTTCACATAGATGCTCTGGTTTCTCATCTTTCAGCTGTTGCTTTTGCTTATTTCTTTGTGCATTCATTCCCTCTGCCTCAATGTCTGTCGTTCAACTAATTCATGCCAGTTTGCTTTTCATGCCTCACTTTTAGCAATACTGGCTTGCTTACATTTCCTCTTTGGTGGTGGTGGTGGACTTCTTGCCCATCTTTGGGCAGCAAATAACTTCCTATCTATAATATGCTATAATACAATGTCACTGCTGCTCTCTTTATGGCTTGTTCATGTTGTTTATTTTGTAAAAAAAATGGTGTTTGCGTCAAGATTACAGCAAAGGTTTGTTTTTAAAGAGTACAAAGTTATCTGGCTATTAAGCTCATTCATCTGTCCATGCTTTAGCATTTAGCAATTTATACTGGGTAAACTAGTTTACTGGTGATTTGGAATTTAAGTGTGATTAGGTCAGTATCAGTAAATAACTTAAATAATTAGCATTGTCAGTCAATTTTTCATCAAAGTACGTAAATATTGCAGTATGTTTGTACTTATTGCTGGTCATATTCATAATGTTGATGCTGTTGATGACAAATTATCATAGTATTATTGTGTGACTGTGTGGGTAAAATAATTTTTTTTTAGATTAATTATTTATAAATTATTTCATAGTGTGAATTTAAATGAAGATATATTTATTATATAATATGTTTAATAAGGTGTCTTCTGTAAAAAAACTTTGAATATTTATCATTGACTAAACTGAAAGATCTTATTTGAGAATAAACTGTTATGATTATAATTTATGCATAGAATATATATTACCAATGTTGTCATGAATATAGATCAGGGGTGGGCAAACTCGGTCCTGGAGGGCAGGTGTCCTGCACAGTTTAGCTCCAACTCTAATTACACACACCTGCTTATAGATTTCTAGTGATCTTAAAGAAACTGGCCAAACATCCTGGCCAAATCTGCCCATCATGGCCTCCTAACCATTCCCATCAGAATTGGCTTCATCACGTCTCCTCTCCACCAATTAGCTGGTGTGTGGTGTGCGGTCTGGTGCAAAACGGCTGCTGTCGTGTCATCCAGGTGGATGCTGTATACTGATGGTGGATGAGGAGATTCCCCCCAATGTGTGTAAAGCAGTTTGAGTGCCCAGAAAAGCACTATATAAATGTGAGGAAATATTATTATTATTATTATTACTGATTAGCAGGTTCCGGTATGCTTGATTAGTGTTGCAGCTAAACTAAAGCGGACACCGGTCCTGCAGGACTGAGTTTGCCAACCCCTGCTATAGACAATACTGCTGATATGGCATTAAAACATAAATAAACTGAACAAAATATTTATTGAATATAGATAAAGACTTTATTGCACTTTAAAAGCATTTAGTACATTGTTTAATGACAGACTTCACATCTAGCTTTACCATTCAGTATTAAGAGTACATGAATGCATAATTGCTTTCCCCCTCTTGATAGCAGTCAGACTTGGCACAAAACTAACTTCATGCATGTTTGCTCTTGCTTTAACGGTCTTCAGTTGTGTCTCACCAATTTTGCTTTAGATAAATCTGTGGTTTTTCAGTGATGTGATTTGAGCATGAAAATATTTTATGATAAATTAGGAAAAGATGGGGTGCGAGGATGATTACTACTCTGATGCGTTACCACAACGCACAAAACTACTCGGGGGTTCCTCATGGCAAAAGCTTTGTTTAATGTAATGGAAGTTGCATTCCATCATAGACAAGCTTTATGTTGTGGCTTTTTAAGTCTATGGGAACGGAAAAAAAAACATCTGTGATGTATCGTCATCCCTGTCCCTGTAGTTCACTTACAGTCTTTCACTTGCGCCCATTAGCCGGAGCCTACAGAAGAAGACATTGAGAAGAACCCTGAGCTGAAAAAGCTACAGATCTATGGGGCTGGACCTAAAATGATGGGCCTTGGTCTTGTACCTCGAGACAAGACGCGGAAGAAAGGTTTGTGTCTGCATTTTTAATGTACTTGGTGTTCATTAAAAGATCAGGGTGTCTGCGAGGTCTTAATGTATTAAAAGTTGATTAATCAGATGGTTGTATGCCTGAATTAAATCTGCAAATGTCAGGATGTGGTGTAGTTTATGAAATCAATAAAATCCTACTAGAATTGAAAACCTGCTGCTTTATTGCAGTAACCAAGTTTACTGCTACCAAACTTGCTGAATTAGATATATTTAATAGATTTTTATTTAGTATATAATTATAAATTAACATTATATAATAATGTTTTAGTTTTGGATTTGTTTCTTACATTAATACTTAGTAAATATACTGTAAGTTAAAATCTCGCCAGTGTTTCCGGTTGAAACCTAAAGTGGTTATAAGGTCCTGAAATATTGTAGAGTCTTAAAAAATGTCTTAAAAGGTATTGAATTTTCCTCTCTGATTCCTGTATACACTCTGAAGATATAGTAATTGCTATACCAGGGATACTAATCATGGACCTGGAGAACCTGCGTTCTACAATGTTGAGTTTCAACACACTTGTTTAAAAGAACAGCCTGAAGACTTCGCTGTTTTGAGCAGTCTTGCTACTTGTCCAAAATGCAATGACCCGTCTTCTGACTGAGACAAAAAAAAGAGGAAGCATATTACTCCAATCATATGAGCTTTATACTAGCTGTCTGTTCATTTCAGAGTCTTAAAATTTTACATTTATGTATTGATTTTTCTTATTTCTAAATGGTACAACTCGGTGAGCTACTGACTACAAACCCTTTCAGTTCTCTAATCAGGATCTGTTGTGTATACCCAAATTGAGATTTAAATATATGGTTTGTGTATTGTTGCCCTCAGGCTTTGGAACGCCTTCCCAGTGTCAATAGGACATGCACAATCCACCAGTATTGTTAACTCTAGATTAAAAACTTTTTTTTTTAAAGGCATTCGGCTTCTAGGAGGTGTATCTGTTTCTTGGCTTGTTTGTTGTAGTCCTGTCTGTGATTTCCCTTTCGGTTTATTTGTTTTACAGCACATTTTCCAATGAAAGTAAAAAATTGTGCTATGTAAATAAGATTTTTATTGTCATTAAATATTTGAATTTGTTGTTCATTAATGTGACCAATACAAATTTCAGACTTTTTAATGTCATGGATTTTTTCCAGATGATCTGCCGCAGACTGTAATTGTGCGGGACAGTGCTGTGAAGGATGAGCCTGCAGAGACGGCGGTTACAAAATCAGATCCAGACATTCCACCGCCACCCCCAAATCTCATCATCAAGGAGGATGTCGATGATGACAAAAGTCATATTGACAAACCTAACGATCCCAGTGATGAGCCTTGCACTAAGATGACCATGAGACTCCGACGCAACCTCAATAATCCACAGTTTGTAAGTTAAGACATACAGACTTGATTTGACTTGTGTGCGCTTCTGAAGTGGGATTTGGCTTAATAAGTAGCTATTAACTTGCAATTTGATTTAGTCGGAGTAAAAGCAAATTGACATTATAATTCTGCCTTTATTTACTTGTTTTTTCACTTCATAACACTACATAACACTTTATAGTATTTTTGTTTCTACTATAGACATGAATAGCCGTTTTCCCTAAAATTTTTCAGACAAACTTGTGTGGTAAGCAGAAGAAATAAACATTTAAAGCAGATGAAATTCAGTACACAGTTAATGGTAGACACCAGAAAGGACTCACTGAGCCTTCTTTAGCTGTTCTCACATTTTAGTTTAATTATGCAACAATTAAGTTGGACGACACAAATTTTACATAGTTTTGATCTGCTATTAGTCTGAGGCATTCCATGATGCAAATGCGCAGGTCACAGTTCACCAAGCTTGAACATTGGTATGCAGCTATTTGCAAAGCCTGTAACACAAGCTTGTGTTAGGGGTCTGACACATTCACATTCGTATAAATGGAAGTCAATAAGGTAAAAAGTGCCTTTAGGGCTGATAACATAAAGTGTTTTGCATTAAGAGGCATTTTTTATCATTATTTTTCTATTGGCCATGAGCATTTTGTGTGCCACAAGACCCTGTCATCTGTTTGCAGACGTTTGTTTTGTGTGCGCGTGGCATGATTTTGACTGGTTGAGCGCACAAAAATATTTGAGACTCAAGCGAACAGTTCGCATGGTGCTGCATTTCTTTTGAGTTTAGTATAAATCCATGTTTGATAATAGGGATAACCAGATGGACAATAGTTATTGGCTAGAAATTGCAACAGCTGTGGCAAAGGAGGAAAGTTTTTGTTTAAAAGTTGAGGGATAAGTTTGTTAAAACCAAAGAGGCCATGGCAAAAGTGGAGACATATGTGGTTTTAATAAACAATTACAGAATATGTTTTTCCACCATTCATAGTTTTTACACTGATGTATATATTACAATAATTTTTTTTTTTTTAAATCTAAAACAGTTTAATAGTTAAAAAATATTTGAACCTATCGGTTTACAATATACTGGTGGCCTAATTTTTTAAACTTTATTGGTGAAAATGGTTAGGAATGTTGGACCATTATTGCCTTTTTAGCAAATAAGTAGAGGTCAGACTAGCCAGACAGTAATTAAGTTTAATTAGTAAAGTATTTTTTCGTAAGTGAATTTTTTTGGCTGCTATTCTTGTTTGATTAAAAAAAAGTTTGATTAAAAAATCTTGAATGGCTATGAAAATCTTTATAAGAAATAAAATAAATTCAAAAAAAATAATACAAATAATTAGTTTTAAAATCTTAAATGATATTAATAACATGAACTTCCTTCTTCTCTTTTTATCTGTCTGATTTTGTTTTTTTATTTGATTTTGTTGCCCTATGTTGTTTTAAAGGATATCACAACAGCGAACGTGTCGAGTATAAAAGCCTCGTCCATTTCGTGTGCGCAAAGTCAGCGAAGGTCTGTGGCGCCAGGCTAAAGTATAAATCTGTAGTGCCTGATATCACATGCTCCATCACCAAGACAGTCAATTCAGTGGTTGTCTTGCAACATAAAAAGCACAGTGCACTGCTCTTTTCTAAAGTCAATCAAATGGGCAATGTTGTATACCTCGCAATTTTACACTTAAAAAGCATGTTCAGTGTTATGTTCTTAAACTTGTGTGATAGTCCCTAAATTTGCTCCCAAACATGATTGTTACTGATGAAGAACAGTTTCATAAACATCTGCCGAAAAGTGCCACCGCAGTGTGCCATGTCATTGTTTTCTATTTGCTGCCGACAGACACTGAATGACACTTATGGTGTGCGCAAACCCGTAGAAAAGATGTGCCATGACTAAGTTGGCTCAAAGGTGTTTAGCAGCAAAATCAAAGCCCCCTCCTCTGAAAAATTTGCTTTGGTGAGCTGTTGCAAACTGACAAAATTAACTCAAAAACACATAGTTTCAGTTTATTATTTGATTTAGTTTGAAATATACTGGGACCATTGTCATTGTTCTTTTCAATGTTTCGAGACAAATTAATGTTATACTTATTGTAGATGTAGTAACTGTTGCGTTCTTCACTTCAGAATGAAATACAGATAAAAATGATTGTGCAAGTAATGCTACATGTAATCACATCTTGTTTGTGTGACAGACGTGAATTTTTAGACTAGTTTTTATTTGAGGACAAACATGTTTAAAATTGCATACTTCACAATGAATTTTCTGTCAGGTGGACTCGTTTGTGTGTCGAATGTGTGGACGCGGGGATGAGGACGAGAAGTTGATGCTCTGTGATGGGTGTGATGATAATTACCACACATTCTGCCTGATACCTCCACTCACAGACCCACCCAAGGGCAACTGGCGCTGTCCCAAATGCGTAGCAGAGGTGAGGGAGACCTGCCAAGAAAATAATCTTGCATCATTCTGTTGTTATAAAAGATGTGTTTATTGGAAATCTCTTTTGTTTGTGGGACCTTTTGGTAACTGTTAGTTGTGTATGTTTATTGACTGAGAAATGCATAAACCCTAAAACTCTTTATATAGCATGATTATAAATTTTCAATCTAGTGATTAATTATAAATGTGTGTTTTATCTGTGTAGGAGTGTAAAAAGCCATCAGAGGCATTCGGCTTCGAACAGGCCACAAGAGAGTACACGTTACAGAGCTTCGGTGAAATGGCCGACACTTTCAAAGCAGACTACTTCAACATGCCTGTCCATGTGAGTGCTTTTCTGTCCTTTAATCAGCATTGAGATCCCACAGATGCACTTTGTACATGTATGAATCACATTAAATTTGTTCTTTGTTGGTTTTTATGGTTTTAGATGGTTCCCACAGAGCTGGTTGAAAAGGAGTTTTGGAGGTTGGTTAGCAGTATTGAAGAAGATGTAACTGTAGAATATGGTGCCGATATTCACTCAAAAGAATTTGGTAGTGGTTTTCCTGTCAACAACGGCAAGAGACAATTATCAGAGGAGGAAGAGGTTAGTTACTCTTATTTTCCGTTTCAGATGTTTTGAGTGGTAAACTGAGGAAAAAAAAACGTAGACAAGTAACTTATTTATAAACTGCTTATCTGCTGATTTCGAAGTGCTTCTTTTATCCTCACTTGTAAGTCGCTTTTGATTTAAAAGCGTCTGCTAAATGAACTACTCTGTTCTGTTTCTGTTGCAGGAATATGCCCGCAGCGGCTGGAACCTAAATGTTATGCCAGTGTTGGAACAGTCATTGTTGTGCCACATCAATGCAGATATCTCTGGCATGAAGGTGCCATGGCTATATGTGGGCATGGTGTTCTCTGCTTTCTGTTGGCACATAGAGGACCACTGGAGTTACTCCATCAATTATTTACACTGGTAATACATAAGCTTTTATGTTAATATGCTTTGTAGTATTTATCTGGAACTCATTTTCCTACTTTTTAGTCCTCTGTGATCACATGTCTGCATTTTACACCTAGTAGTTAGTATGTGTTTTTATTATTACAATTACAAGTGGACAGTTCTAAGCTTGGGTGTAAACGAAGTTGAAAACTCAGCATTTGATGTGCTATTATAGGCCTTCCTTTGGCTCAAATAGTAGTGCATGGCCCTTGCAATGCTAAATTTGTTGAATTTGATTAACCGGGAAAGCAAAAGCTGATAAAAATGTGAACCTTCAATAAGGGCTGCACGATTCTGGCTAAAATGTGAATCACAATGTTTTTTTGCTTAAAATCAAGATCACGATTTTCTCACGATTCTTTAAATGTAAAATAAAGGTTAATCTTAGTAGGCTATTATTATTGTTAATTCTCAAACATATCGTCACCTTGGAATTATAAGATTCTATCTGTGTTCTGAGTGATTTTGTGCTTCAAATTTTTTGTAATCCATATAGCAAACAGTGTTTGTGTAACGTGTTTAAAAAAAGTGTTAATGTAAACAACTTATAAAAAACATCCCATAATGTTAATGAGTTGTCATTTAATAAGAATGTCAGTAACTCAATTTTGACAAAAATGTCAGATTAAAGTTTTCTTGCAATAAATTAAGCATTATACAGGCTAGGGTTGATATACTGACACTGTTAAACATGTGTTTTCATGCACAACACTGTGTTCACTACGAAGAAAAAAACATATCAAATGTTTGTTATAATCATAACTGTAAAATGCGAAATGATCATTTAAATGATGTGCGGCCAGTTTCATTTTCACTTTCGAGTGTGGATCATGGCTGCCGTCACGCTGAGGAAAAAAACATACACGTACTAATCATTCTTTTAGCGCGGCTCTTTAACCATCGCTCTGTTCAACAAACTGAACATTATTTACAACTTTATTACGTGTTATTCACAACCTATGCAGGTTCTGTTCACTAAAGTAGCCGTCATTGGCGTGCTGCGTCCATGCACGCGTTCTAGCTCACGTAAGATTTTGCGGCCATGAATACATCATTACGTGAAGACCGAAATTATATATCTGGGTGAATTATACCTTATAAATACAGTATGTGATCATTTTAACTCCATTTGAAGGTGTTCGTGTTCCTTTGAAGACTTGTGCGACCGCCTTTAAGCTTCTCTTCTGACCTTGAAAATATAATTGGCTGATTTGTAGAAAAGCTGAATTAAGATCTTGTGTAGAGTCGAATCGAGATTGTGATCTTTTTTCGATTACTCATGCAGCCCTACCTTCAATAGAAAATGTAATTTACTTTGGGTAAAAGTATCTGCCAATTGCATAAATGTTAAGCACACCAAAATAATTGTTCATACTTGTATTCATGTATTCAAACATGTACCAAAATTCACAGATTCTGCTCAAAATCCTTGTTGCAGTTCTTTTTATCATCCTTTTTATTTTTAAAATAATTTATTATTTAAAAAAAAATATTATTATTAAATCAATAGAACTCAACGTATTCTTTTTACACAGATGATATTGTGGTGCTTAGATTGATTCAGCCAGCCTGTATTTGAAAAGATCTGGCATTGTGCGCTTTGTTTGCTTCTTTTGTAGTTTAAGTCATTTCTGATGCATCCTATGTTTCAGGGGCGAGCCCAAAACATGGTATGGAGTTCCATGTTCAGCTGCAGAGAAGTTGGAGGAGGTGATGAAGAAACTCACACCTGAGCTATTTGAGTTCCAGCCAGACCTGCTCCACCAGCTAGTCACCATCATGAACCCAAATATACTCATGAGTCATGGAGTGCCGGTTTGTAACACTCACTCACAATTTTCAGTAGTGCACTTAAGATAATTCTGTGTTAAGCCATTGCTATTTAAAAAATCCCAAATATGGCCGGAAATAAAGCGCAAAATTAAATTAAGAAGTGAATTTGATTCAGCTGGTTTATGATGTATTGTCAAAAAATGTTAATATGTGCCTATATATATATATATATATATATATATATATATATATATATATATATATATATATATATATATATATATAGTTTTTATTTATTTTAAAATACAATTGTTACTTTATCGTTTAAATGTGATAAGACAACAATATGTGTTCTGTATGTAAGTGGATTTGTTGGTGTGCTCAAGACATAATTCATGTTGATTGACAGGTGGTTCGGACCAATCAGTGTGCTGGGGAGTTTGTCATCACCTTTCCACGAGCTTACCACAGCGGTTTTAATCAGGGATATAACTTTGCCGAAGCTGTCAACTTCTGCACTGCAGATTGGGTAAATAAATACCTTGATTTAGTTCTAATTGTGTAAATATGAACTAATGTGTGCAAGAATAAGCAGGATCTTTGAATCAATCCTTTTGGATTTTTGTTAAGTCCGTGTATTGTGATATAATGTGTCTGTTGCTTTTTCCGTTTCTGTTCTAGTTGCCCACAGGGCGCTCTTGTATTGAGCATTACCGGCAGCTGAGGCGCTACTGTGTGTTCTCTCAAGAGGAACTCACCTGCAAGATGGCGGCCTGCCCAGAAAAGCTGGATCTGAACCTGGCAGCCGCCACACACAGGGAGATGTTCATCATAGTGCAGGAAGAGAGGAAACTACGCAAAAGCCTACTGGAAAGGGTGAGAGGACTATAAATGACGGGAACAAGTAGTGTCTAGATCTGAAGTAAAGTTTCATGTACAGTGTATATTATTTGTAGAGTAGAAAACAAAGCTTTTGAGAGGATTGTGGTTTTTATAAATAAGAAATTATTATTTATTTATTTTATTTACCTTCTAATCTGTTTTGTTGAAGTTGTCATGGACTTTTATTGGCAAATATATGTATACTTGTACTTTTAATTGATAATATTGGTTCAATTTCAAAAACAATTGCATGGTCTTTCTCTTGTGACGTTCTCGGCGTGCGGTAAAAACAACTTGTAGTTTTAGCTTAGTCTCTTCTTCACTTTCATTGATTGTAATTCAGGAAACAATTTCTAACTGCAGAGGTAAGATACTGTGGGTGCTAATTTGTACTATTCTTATAAATCTTGTGAAGACACAAGCCAGCGTTTTTGTTAAGTTTACATAGAGGGCTAGATAACGGGTATCTTTTCATGTGGTGTATTCAGGTGCTCATATTTCTGCACTTCCTGGCTGTCTCTTTATTTTTAGAAACTGACTTTGACAAAAATATGTTGAAGAAGAAAGTCTGTTATTATCAAAATGCTTAACTTGTAACCTGTTAAATTTGCTGAATTTTACTTTTACTTACTTACAAAAAAAAAAATGTATTTATTTATTTTACTCTTATTGGACGTTTTCAAGAAGATATTTGCCAGTGACACTCTCAGCTGAATTTACAGTTGTGTTGTTTGCTATATTTTATTTGAGTCGAGCTGAAAGGGTTTATAAAATAATGCCACATTCTCCATTTTCAAATATTATTCTTACATGAGGGTTAATGCTGACAGCACCACACTGAGTGAGTGCTGCATTCTAGCGGAGCTCATGAGCCCACAGTACTCTTTAGTTTTTACAGTAGATGGATTTTACCTTTATTATTATTATGTATTTTTTTGTGTAACACATTAGTGTTGATATGAAAGGATGCTATTCAGTAATCACAATAATATCAGCATAAGGCAGTCATTTTTTACTTATTGGTTTAAACACCAAGTTGTTGACCTTTTAAATTAAAAAAATCTAGTAAGAAGTTATAAATCATCATAATTTGTTTTTTGTTTTACCAAAAATAAAACTTATTTACTTTATTATTAATGCTATGACATTTTAGTTGTATTTTATTGTCATTTTGTCATTAATACAATGCAGTTCTGTAGTCATTTAGGTCTATCATTTGTGTTCAGCAATATTCTGTTATTCTAATATTTTGTGAATAAATTTATGCTTAATGGTAGGGTTAGATGTTTACTTATTTCTATCATTGGCCAGTCACATGCTCTCATATTACTTTAACAATGTAAAGTAAGCATTATCTAAATAATTTTTACATAGAAATTAAATATAAGCTACATGGATTGTTGTGTGTTTTACTATATGCTGTAAAATATTCAAATGTGCATTTTTTTTTCTTATTGACCACATATACATAGACAATATATGAAGCATTAGGTCATGAATATTTTCTTCAAAGTCAGGGAAAAGTCATGTAATTTTAGTAGTAAGAATATGTACGAACACTGTTTATTTATATTTCCCACGGGAGTCGTGCCAACACTGTGCTCTCCTGTGTTTTACATTTGCAGTTGCTTTTTGGCTACCATAATCTACAAACACACACAAATTGACTTCCATATGTTTAATTTCTGCCTTTTGTTCTGTGGTGTTATCTCTTAGGGCATCAAGGAAGCTGAAAGGGAGGCCTTTGAGTTGCTGCCTGATGATGAACGACAGTGTGACAAATGTAAGACCACCTGCTTCCTCTCAGCTCTGGCATGTTCGAACTGCCCAGAGCGTCTCGTCTGCCTCTATCATGCCCAGGACCTCTGCTCTTGCCCGAGTGAAAAACTCTACCTCAGGTAAAATAGTAACGTTCCCTGTTGTGGGTTTTTAGATCTAATTCACTAATTGATGCAGATTTTATCAGATCTGTTAGCCCTGTCTGTTTGTGTATATAAGGCTTGTTTTCACACTCTCCATGCTGAATATGAAGTCTTTAGTTGTAGAATGTCTTAGAGTGATTTTCCACATTTGACACACCTGTTGGTGCTTTTAGGCAGCATTTTTCATGATTCAAATGACCCAATTAAGTCTTTTTCCTTTTATGTGGCACAGATTGGATATAACAGGCAAATGTGTAAGCTGAAAAAAGTACATGGATTACAATTGGTTTCATACCCTATTTATATATGGAATCAAATCTGATATGAATCAGATATATGCATTTGTGTCTGCCGTATAAGAGAGTTGGCATATTACCTTGTTAATGCGAGTTGTGCATCAATGGAAAAGTGACTGTAACATGAATTGTCAATTGGACACCAAGCAACTTACTATTTCAGAAGCACAATGGAGGAATAAGGCTCTACTCAATAGAGTCATGCTGAAATGTTTATATTTTGCTGATGTTTACAAATCATAAAGGATGCAAAAGCTTGTTTCTTCCTCATTCATTGAAAATTGCACAGTTGTAAGCATAAGCTTTTTAGGGTCAGTACTTCTACTTTGAATTGTTTTGTGTATAGTGTAAAAGTCGATATCAGATATGAGATCCTTAAAGTTAAATGCTCAATAAAAAACATTTAAATAATAAAATATCAGACCTGGCATCAAGACGAGTGTTCTGAAGGAAGTGTCGTATATGCTCTCTCCTATATGTAGGTATCGCTATACTCTGGATGAACTGTTGGCCATGTTGCATCGGTTGAAAGTTCGCGCTGAGTCTTTTGACTCTTGGGCTAACCGCGTGAAGGAAGCCCTAGAGCAGGATGAAGGCAACAAAATAGGTAACTGTATTTCTTTACATCAGTGGTTCTCAACCCCATTCCTGAAGCCCGTCCCCATGGACTCTGTCCTGGAGGGCCACTGTCCTGCAAAGTTAAGCTCCTACCCCAATTATGGCCCGTTTCCACTGAAAGGTTCAGTACGGGTCACCTTTATCAAGCCTGCGTTTCCACTGTCAATAGGGTACCCTTTTGGTGGGGGTGATTTACAAAAGACTATGTCATTTTTACTGAAGGAAATGTCACAGTAAAGCTGTATGGGTCGTTCACATATCAGATGAGAAGCACTTCTCACAAAACAGACACTTTATGCACATAAATACTTGTGTATAAATGTCCATTACTAACTTTTCTATGAACATAGTTGGATTGTAACTGCAGATCAATGATCAAATAGCCAAACAGCCTACTGTAACCTCTGCAATTATATGAAATAAATTAATAAATGCAACATATATGAACACATACAGACCCTTACAGTCTCTGATATGTTATCAATAACATAAAAACTACACACAGCATACATTTGGTCATTATTTGGGTTCAAAAACAACACAATAGAGCCCACAGTCAGTGCAAACCTCTCATCTGCGTCTGTCATCTTCAGCAGCACATGTAACCTCTTGTTAGAAAGTAATTCCATCATTCTGAGTTCATAACAGTATAAAAGGTGATAATAATAGTTAAACATGGCAGTTTGTTCCTATTTTAGGTTGCGGTAGCATCATTTACTGCTGTTTTTTACTTCTCAGTTTTTTTTGCACTTCACTTTCGCGTTTGTCTCTTTCTGAAAGGATCGCATATCAGAAGTGCTTCAATGATCATAAGTTATTAATATGAGCTCAAAAAGTTTGTTATTTCAAATGAAGATGTGCAGTGAGCTCTCTGGAGAAAGTGAACCCGCTCGCAATTTTAGAAGGGCTTGTAAAACAACAACAGGACACAGCAGATTTTGTTCTTCTTGGCTTTGTGGCTGTTCATCAAGACAACGACAAGGTTTGTTAGAGCTCAGGTCGATCATGGCTTGTTATTATATGTATATATTATTACAGTGTAGTGTCTCATCTGTGTTTTTAAAAAAGGCGCTACCTTTGATTTCATTCTCCTGCTTCTGCGAGTGATGCATCTCTGTAAACCAATAGCGTTCAGCTGTGCGTCAAGCTTTACCTTGTGGTACCCTTTGGGCGTGTTGGTACCCTTTGCAAAGGGTGACCAAAAAGTGGTACGGTACAGTTCACTTTTAGGTACCCTTTGACAGTGGAAACAGCCATTAAAGCAAACTGAACCACACCAAACCGTACCACTTAGTGGAAACGGGCCATTAAACATGCCCGAACCAGCTAATCAAGCTCTTGCTACAGTAGTCAGCATTTGAATTAGCTAAAAATAAAATCGTTCAAGAGGCAAGAGGTTTGTGGTTTTGATGCACTTCAAATGTTTACTATTATAATCATAATAGAAGCTACTTTTGAGGCAAGTTGAAGCTAAGCTACGCAGGACTGAGTTTGGGCCCTGGAGTCTCTGCTAATGAGCTCATGAGTTGAATAAGGAGCGTTTGACTAAGGCAGTGGATCTTAATTCGGATCCTCAAGCACTTAACGCCCTGCGCATTTTGTATATTTCTTGTTTGACACAAGGATCAGTTCATGGATTTATCTGTTAATGAGATGATGATCTGAATCAAGTGTCCTTAGTAAGGAAGATATACAAAATGTGCAGAGAATGAAAATTGAGAATCACTGGACTAAGGAGGCATGCAAAACATGCAGTGTTGTGAAGGGACCTATGAACGTGGTTGACACTAATGAAAACCATTTTTTGGTGAATGTGCACAACAATGCACTAGTCTTTACAAAAAAAAAATTGTGTCTTAAAGTCCAACCATCCTTTAAGCAGTTGACATTCCCTGAAAGCCCACATATATCTCCATCTTTTATCTTTAGATATTAAAGATCTGGAGGTATTAAAAGAAGAGGCAGCTGACAAGAAGTTCCCCAATAATGAGCTGCTCCAGCGCCTCAACACTGTCTTCGTGGACATAGAGAAGTGCGAGAGCTGCAGCACAGAACTCCTCAGCAACAGCCAGAGCAGTAGAATGACCCTGAAGGAGCTGAAGACTCTGGTGGACACCATGCAGAACCTGCCATGTGTTATAAAGCAGCAGGACGAAGTTCAGGTAGAACATACCAAAGATATGTTCAATCAAATGCTAGTTTAGTTATTTTAAGCAGCATGCATCTATGTGACCATCTGTTAATTGTTTTCTAGCTGATATTGCAGAAGATAGAGGAGTTTGATTCCCGTGCTCAAGTTCTGGTCGACAGCACCAAGAGTGAATGGAAGCAGGACTCTCCTCTTCCTGTGGCCACTGAGATCCAGGCTCTGCTAGAGGAAGGTGCATCACTACCGGTTATTGCCCCAGCTTGTGAGCTTTTGAGTGGGCTGTTGGAGCAGGGGCGCTGGCTGGGAGAGGTCAGGCGGACGTTAGGGCCAGAGGGCAGTGAGGTGACTCTGACTGTGCTAAGGAACTTGATGGAGTCGGGCTGTAATGTACCACAGAGTGTGTCAGTGGAGACTGCAATGGCTGAACTGCAAGAGCTCTTGACAATAGCTGAACGCTGGGAGGAGAAGGCGCAGATATGCTTGGAGGACAGGTGAGCTGGAGGGCAAGAGAAGAGCATGTCTTACCATACTGTTACAGCCATCGTTTATCTCTCAATTGTATTTTTGCGAGCAGGCAGAAACACCATTTATCAACGCTGGAGGCTATTGTGAATGAGGCTCAACTAATACCAGTCCAGCTGCCTAATATCCTGTCCCTACAGGCCTGCTTGAGCCGAGCTCGGGCTTGGGTCACAGATCTGGAGGAAATTCAGGTAAGAATAGTTTGGTGGTTCTGGAATAAACTGCTTTTGATGTTGGATATAACAATCAACCTGCAATTTAGTGTTGATTATGTTGGTGAATGGATCATTGAAATGCTCTTTTTCTGGTGTCCTGTGGTAAAGAATGGTGAGCACTATCCATGTTTGGATGACCTGGAGGGTCTGGTAGCCATTGGGAGGGACTTGCCAGTGAAGATGGAGGAGCTGAAGCAGCTGGAGCTGCAGGTGGCCAGTGCTCACTCCTGGAGAGAGAAGGCCAGCAAAACCTTTCTGAAGAAGAACAGCCAACATAGTCTGCTCGAGGTAAAGATGCTGATGCTTTTGAAATATTGGAGTTGTGGTGGGCCAGTAGGACATGTTCATCAAAGCATTTTGAGCAGTGCTCTCTCAAAAACACTCAGCTGTGAGCACTTTCCCCAACTGTCGGTGCATTTACAAAAGGCTGAACGCAAAACAGATGCTCAGTGGCTCACCTTACTGCTGGCATTCTAAAAACAAAGCACTTCCATTGAAAACAACTGACGAAATATGCTCTGCTTGGGAGAAAAACATTTCAGTCAGTTGACACACACACACACACACACACACAGACGGGAGATGTTTTGATGTAACTCGCAGTACTAATTCAGACATTTTCAGGAAAGGTCGTTTTGACAAATTGTTTTGAAGTACAGATACAAACTTTACTTTGACCTGATTTAGGCCCAATCCCAATTCTATTCCTTAGCCCTTCCTCTTACTCCAATTAAAACCCCTTCCCTTTCACACTCTGTTTCAATGGCCAAAGGGTTAGGGGTACAAAAATAGAATTGAGATTAGGCCTTAGTTTGAACAACATCACAATAGTTCTTTCAGTTTGTTTCCAGGCCTTGATGCCACTAATTAAAGTTAAATTGGAAATAAGATAATAAAAAAAAAAAATATTTTGCAATTTTTTAGGTGCTGTGCCCATGTGTTGAGAAGAGCAAGAAGATGGAGGACAACTCAATGGTTACAGAAGCAGATTCGGATGTCAATGTATTAGGCCTCACAGCTCAGGACCTCAGAGACCCAGGAGCTATTGTGAGTTCCTCTATATACATAACTGCTATATTTAGGTTTTTGTTTAAACTTCAGACAAACCAATTTGCGTGAATTTGTGTATTAAAAACACTGTTCTAAAACATAGTGTGACCTTGAATGTTATGAATGCTGAGTGTTAGCCATTTTCCATAATTGTCTTCTACAGTAGCTTTGTTTCTATCCAAAAATGTGAATTAAATTTATGCGCAAAACTGGAATATCACATAAAAAAACTTGCGAATAAAGCAAAGTTTCCATTCAATGAGTCAAAAAGAAAAAACTTCCCGGTTAACTGGCAGCAAATATCAAAAGTAAAAATGGAATTTTTTTGTGGTAGGAGAAGTGAAATCTCTGCGTGAATCTTTTCTTTATTAAATAAATGACTTGTGCCTCAGAAGACAATGCCGACATGCAATAAATGCATGGTAGCGTTTGAAGACAGCAGACGCGGAGCACAGGCTCTCTTGACAGTTCTGGAGGTAATTAATATAATAACACTAAGGCTGCGTCCGAAACCGCCTACTACTCAGTAGGTACTGTATTTGAATTTAAACATACTACTCGGCCATGAGAAAAGTATGTTCTATACAGTATGAATGTGAAAAGTATGAATGAAATTAGGACTATATTACTATATCTGCCATTTTGAAATGGTCATGTGACCTACCTGCGTCAGTTGCGTCACTTCACTCACATTCATGAATTTTTTCACGAGGCATCATGGGATAGTGCAGCATGCCTGGAATGCGCACTTCAGAATCTCACCGGAAGTAGCAAGTCATCCGGGTACTTCTCGCATACTAATTTTCGAATTCTATGAATTTGGACATACTACTCGGCTCGCATAATGATTTTAGCATATTATATAGTATGGAAGTATGCGGTTTAGGCCTAATACTAAAATGGTTCAGGCATTTTAGAATGACCGAAACAACATTTCAGATGTTTTACAATGCGCTCAGCCAGCTGGTTTGTCCATTCACACACTTTTTTATTACCACCTAATCTCTTAGAACAAAATCACATGACTTTGTTTTTTAAATGCACATACTAGAATTTGTTCGGTAAAAGTGTTTTCATCGTAGTTTATGCACGTTTTTTCTTGTCGAATAAAATACTCAGTTATGCGCATACATTTTTACGTGCATTTTCAAAATCTTGCACATCTTGCCGTTATCATCAACCGTTTTTTCATGCGCATATCTAAAATGTGCATAAAAATAGGTGGATGGACACATCGCTAATGACTATGTGGCTATGTTTTTAGATCATTCATCCATGTTCTGTTTAACGTACATCACACATAATTAAATGCCAACATATGAATTGTACTTTCAACTTTAGAATTTAAAGGCCACTTACTGGGTTTTTGGAACTCAGCCTAGAATATTAGCGACCCTGATTCTGGAGGCAAATCAACAAAAAAGATTTTAGTTACTGGAGTGTCTACAGTAGTCAACATTTCAAGTGGATGATTATCTTTCATCACAGTTGTCCAAAATCTATTCAACAAAATTCATTCTTGTCTTAGGACAATTTGAAAATAAAATTTTGGTCCATCTGGAATGTTGACCACTATATAAACAAAGCTGATTAGTTAAATTGGATGCTTGATTTGGAAAAGTTTAAAGATGAGTGCGGTTGGTCTTCATGAGAAAAAGGATTTTGAAATCTTTGCACGTCAGAATTATGCCATTCCCAAAGTCATTGTAAGTTTTACATAGTTGTCCCTTTTGTTTCAACAATTACAGGTAATGGCATTTAAAGAAGGGGAGCGTCTGGAGAAAGAAGCCCTCCTCCGCCTCCAGCAGGTTAATTTGGCGAAACCCAGTATCGAAAATGGAGTAAGCACTGACCAGGACAGTATCAAGACAGAAAAGAAACAGAGTAACTCCATGGAGACAGATGTGCCCCTTAACTCAGACAGTCCCGTGCTGCAAAATGGAGGCTCTTCCCATTCCCTCACCTCTAGCCAAACTGTGTGTATTTGTGGTGGCCCACCTCGCCCCTTGCTTCACCGGTGCCATCTGTGCAAAGACTGGTTCCATGGAGGTTGTGTGTCCTTCCCACCATTGTTGGCCACTTCAGACACGCATCTTACAAAACCCCTCTGCTGGTGGGACTGGAACACGCGTTTTCTCTGTCCGCGGTGCCAGCGATCCCGACGGCCACGGCTGGAAACTATTCTAGCGCTGCTGGTGGCGCTGCAGAGGTTACCTGTACGGCTGCCAGAGGGAGAAGCGTTACAGTGTCTTACAGAGAGAGCTATTAACTGGCAAGGTCGAGCCAAACAGGCATTAGACACTCCAGAAGTACAGGAGGCGCTAGACAGACTGCAACAAGTAGAGGATGAAATGGTCAGTATAAAAGAGGAAGAACCAGAGGAGAAAAAGAAATGGAATGGAGATGCTGTAATTGTGCTTTCTGACTCGGAGGAAGCAGAAGATGGTGTTATCGATCTGACGGAAGATGGGAACTCGCCAAAAAAGAATGAAAGGAACGCTGTCAATGGTACACAGGTGAGCTTGTGCGATTGGACGTAAATAAAGAAATCTATAATATACACCTTTTTCCCCAAGGCAGTTTGAGTGCTAGTTTAGAGCCAGAGCATAGTCCCAAATTGGTCCTTTGACTTTGGACTCCAAAATATTGCTGGGTAAAGGCTGATTTATACTTCTGCGTAAAACGCCGGCGTATGCTACGACACTGACGCATAGCCCTTCGCCGTGGCCGTTGCTGACGTGCACCTCTCAAAAAATGTAACTACACGTCGCAACAACTCATAGCCCAAGCTCTGCGATTGGCCGGCTTGGTAGCGATGACGAGTCTGGGCGGGACCGAGAGCCGCGCGAGCGGCGTTAGCCCAATGGAGCGATTGTTTTCAAGTGTGGAGTCCCGTGAAGGAGCTCCGGATGGAAAGTTTTGTTTTGTGTTTACCTCATAGTTAAAGTTCTTGCACGTCCGCCGGTTCCTGCCTCAAAATGAGTGAGTTTGAGCCACTTGTACATCCAGGTAGTGTTCAGGAAAAGCAAACAGCAGCGAAGAAACTTGACACAGAGGAACATTTACACCTCACTGCCAACTAGCGTTTCGGAAGTGTTAATGCAGACCAACAGAGACAGCGCAGAAGTATAAATGCACAGCTTCGGCCGTTGTATGCACCATGGGTTACGCCGGTCGCTTGACGCAGAAGTATAAACCAGGCTTTAGTAGAAAGAACCACTTGTATTGGGTGCTCAGGGTGGGTATGGTGAACGCTATTTTGACTGCCATTTTCGAAATCACAGCAGAACCCGATGCTTAACACGTTATTCTAATGTGCAATCTCAGTCAATAAAAATGACTGTGAGGTGCACAAACACATTGGATCAGGTTTCCCACGGCTTGTAGAATTTCTGTTATATCATAGTGTTTTAAACGTTTATTCCAGACAGTGAAAGAGGAATAAATATTTCTTTTTTTTTATATTTATATTTTGATTTTTGTTGTTCAGAATTTTTTGTTTGTCATTTTTACTTTCCATTTATCAAAAAATATATCTGTACAGTGTTTATCTTGTTATTTCACGTGTTTTGCTTTTTTAATGCTTAGGCTATTCTTAACTGCCATTTTATTCTTTTCCCACTTGTCAACCGGCAATCAAACACAGTCACCAGACTCATAAAATACTGTCTGTGGCTGTTTTTTGTCTGCTCTGTGCTCATCCCTTCTGCATTTTGTGGAGCGGAAAATTCTGATTGTTGTGGTCCAAAATTACATATTTTTTGGTGACCTATCTTAGAATTTGGTACCTCATTTCTGCCGTTTCTTATGTGTATTGCTGTGAAAATATACACAAATTTACAATTGGTTCTTTACGTTTTTGACCTCAAGACCTCGAGAAACTACATAAATACTATATACTATACTGTATAAAGCTTAGCCAACTACATCATTTTTGATGCATTAATGATTGTAAGTAATCAAAATGACCAAACAAGTTCATCTTTCCAACAATAGCAAAAAAAAAAAAAATAATTATTTGAGATCATGAAAATTCTGCTTTTTTGTGAGTAAAAGCCAGGGAATTTGATAGAAACCTAAGACTTATCAGAAAAAAACAGCTCCAACCCTAGCACTAAACTAGCCCTCATTTCATGTTTTTTGGAAAAGGGGTATACATCTAGCCATCTTTTCTTGTAAGTTTACAAAAATATGTCTGTCTTCTGTCCAGTCTGGCTGTGAAAATGGAATTGGCAGGAAGTCGAGTGCACATGAAGTTACAGGTTTGTTTGGTTGTTTATATTACTAGATTCCTTAATGTTTGTTTTTAAGGTATTTTTATTGATTTTAACCCTGTGGCTCTTATCAGGGGTGGAGTCTCTGTTGTCACTAGTGCCGAGTCTTAAAGGGCCAGTGGTGGAGCTGAACACATCTGTCAGAGCACAGCTGGAGGAGCTTCAGCTTGAAGGAGACCTGCTGGAGGTCACGCTTGACCAGACACACGCCATCTACCGCATCCTTCAGGCATCATCTCAGCCGCCCCAGGACACCTTGCGGACACTCATACAGGTAAGGGAGGAGTGCTTCACTTCTTCTCCAGATTTATGCTGTGTAGACCATATTCTTATGTCATGATACAGAACTGGAGCAAGTCAAAATCTAAAGGATTCATTTGTCACAGAGATAATTGTAATTTTCCATTTATAATATATTTTTTTCCATTACAAAATTATTGATGAATGGGATTTTATAACACAAATATTGTCTAACTTTAAATTCTTAACTCAAATCTCTTTTTTTCTGGTGGCTGCCGAATTTGCATTGTTGAAAGTACTTCTTGGCTAATCTCTGACTTGACATGATGAATAATGGAATTCAGTTCAATTCATGTTTATTTGAAATTAGTCAATTTAAATATTTAAAATTGAATTGAATAATGTGACACTATTTTGATGGTCCGTTTGTTGAATTAAGTTACATTGCATCTACATGCCAACTAATTCTCATTAGATTATAAGTCGACTGTTAGGTTGGGGTTGTGGCTTAGAATTAGTGCAAGTTGACATGTACTTGCAAAGTTTCTTGAAGTCAGTTAAATGTCTGTTGGAGGAGCAGTATCAACAGATATTAAACAGACAGTCTACTAATACTGAAATGGACCATCAAAATAAAGTGTTACAGAATAATTTAAGATGCATTTGTAGCAGGAACTAAACCCTTCCATGTTATTGGAAGTGGAAACGAGAAGTTAAAATGTTAAAGGGTTTCACTGTTCATCATCGTCTTGTGTTGTAAGTAGTTAAGCATGTGAGCGGTTTATCAATGAGCTCTATATTCAGGACTTTCATTTCGGTAAGACAAACCGGTTGCTTCTTGTGAACCGTCAGTCACCATGTTTAAGATCTTCCTTGTTTAAACTCTTTGATCCTGTCTGCAAGATTGAGACCCAATATAATGTGCGTCTCTCAACAGACAAGATCCACAGCATTAAATCCCATTGTGCTGCTCCACCTTTTTAAAATTTGAGCATTTATTTTACCACAATGTTCTCTATGGGCTTTTCAGTGCTCAGCCACTGCTCCTTTAAGATGCTTACGTTTTTTAACATCTTTTCATCTCGTTTTATGCTTTAATAACAGAATGAATGCTTGGGTAGACTTGGGTAGCATAGACTGTAAAAGATATGGACATAGTCCATGACTTGAGAGCGCAAATAAAGCTTACAAGTAGGCATGGCCAGTCTTTGCCATTTTGTTCGCGCGTCATCGCACCGACTGGGGGCGACCAAATAAGGGCAGAGGCGAAGTATCAGTGGAGCTACAAATTCCTGCTAGCATTTTGCTTAGACTGGCCTAATACTTCATTACCTGCGACATGTTTGTGTTCTGACCATGTGATTGGTTGGTTACTATATCAATAAAGTGATTAGTCTTTTAAAAACACTGTTGAGCCACTAATCATTGATTTTTATTACATTTTTCTACAGGAGGTAAACGCAAATAACTCCCAAATACTTTATTTATAGTCTGTGTTAGTAAATGCAAGGCTATTGATGAAATCCAGGCATAACACTGACAACGTTTCAGAGGACTGTTCTTAAGCCTCCAGCTAATTAATCTGTCAGATTCTGGAGTGCATTACAGGTCTAAAGAAAAATTTTAATTGATAAATTATCTTAAACAAATACATTTATAGATATGGTATATAAGTATTTAATTTCACTCACCTAGGCAATGGAGGCGACATGAATGGTTTGTGAGCACAATTAAGTGCACAGAGCATGCCATATCATCTGTTAATTGTAGGAAATATTTCCAAAAGGCAATTGACTGTGTAAAGCCAAATAAAATAAAACAAAAATACAATTTATATGCCGAGCTCAGCAGCTAATCAGCCGGAATCAGCTGAGATGATAAGACAGCGAGCAGCAAGACCTAGCTGTCACTCAAGTGGCTACGCCCCTTAATTATGCAGACTTAATACAACTTACTAAAAACTAAACAAATGAGTCATATTTAAAAAACCCCCCCCCCCCCCCCCCCAATGTTTAGCTATGTGCACCAAAACTATCTTTTGTACCAGGCTGTAAACATGTATTTATCAGCTGTAAAATTGGCCAATTTACCATTGCAGTCAGAGAACATCTGGATTTACTGTAGCCACCCCTCAAAGGCAAGTTGATGAACTGCAGTTTCAGTTACTTCTGAGGGACAGCGGGAGGTTGCCGCTTGGTTTAACCATCTATTGAACTTATTCTTCTTGTATGAATGGGCACAGCTATTGAAATCTTTTTGGCTCAAGACTTCTGGTCTCATTCGCTTTCATTGATTTCTAGTCGTTAAAAATGGCTTGCTATGCTTATTGATGTTGCAAACTAAAATGTTCTTATTGTGTTATACTACTTATGTATAGTCATGAACATGCTTGTTTGTAGAGCAATTAGCTTGACCGTTTTCTGCCATTCATTACTCCTAGTCACTTCTTCCATAGGCATCTGATTTGGAAGTTCTAAAACAATCGCAAAATTGAGCACACTTCCGTATCACAGAATATGGTTAATATTCTCATTATGTTAGGGTGCTACACCTGTGGTTGGGTTCATTTGGTTCAGACTAAGGGCAACAAATGATACTTTGTAGCATTTTCCAGCGGTTTTGGTTTATTTACACCAAACTGATTGCTCTGGTATGACCCAGTTGAAACAAACCAAAAATGCAGTCCCTGTGGTGTCATCCATGTGAGTTGTTGACCAGATGTGACTTTGAATGCATTTCTTTTACTGCTTTTCAATTTGTCAGAATTAATCTGCGTGAATATTCCTACTGAACTCCCTAAAGTAAACTGAGAGGATGAAAAGAGAGCTTTTGTTAGAGCACTGTAACAACAAACAAATATTGCCCTCATCACATAATACACAACACAGCTGACTACTGCAGCTGGTTTAATCCACAAATGTGCCGTACATTTGTCAGTTGGGTCTGATCGAATGTGGATCATGTTCTCACCACAAGCGAACCGCTCCAGTGTTCGAAAGTATACCGAGTCCGCCTTTACAAGAGTGTTTTAGTAAAATTGTTTAGTTTGATTTTGGTGTCTTCCATCATACGTTGAGTCATAGATCAGCCAAGAAATTGTCTAGACATTTAGTCCCCACCAGAAGTTCATAAATGAAAATTTACAAATATTTTGATCTTGTTCATAAGCGTTTCATGTGCGTTTATCCCCTGGCAGTGTAGGGTTAGTTTATCATCAAATTTAGAACTAAGAAAAAAAAAAGGCCACAACCCAGCGCCATTATAAATAATGGAAGATCCTTGATAAAATCTAAAGGTTACTGATTATACAAAAATCACTTTTGTAAGAGTTTTAAACTAGTGGTGGGCCGTTATCGGCGTTAACACGAGACTTTTATCGGGTGATTAAAAAAAATAATGCTGTTAAATCTATTCTCAAAGATGGGTCTGAGCTGGGTCTATTCTATGCAAGCTATGATGACTTTCACCTTGATATTTTAGCGCGGATATATACCTGGCTGAGTTCCACTGTACTGGGTGAGAAAGAGTCTTCAAACCTGTGTGCATTCCTACTGTGAAATTACCACATCTGACATGCTAACATGGATGCAGTTCACTGGAGTGAATCTGATTAATGTTAGCTCAACATCTAATGATCAGGCATCTGTAGAGTTCATGCGTTCAAGTATAACAGATACAAATAAAATGGACTGGGTGCTTTTTAAAATGAGTGATTGTAAATGAAGGTCAAATCGGTGAGCCATCTGACAAAAATAGTGCCCTTCTGAATCAAATCAACAGGATGCCCTTCTGGATCTTTCACTTACTTCGAAGACACAACTGACTACACTTACATGAACATCTGTAATCTAGTTATTTGCCTTAATAGACAATAATATAATTAAGGTGTTTACGTGAAGTGCTTTCATTTAAGAGTTTCATGTAAATTTGGGTGACTTTAACTGCAGTTCAGCTGTTTCACTCAGGAACATTTCGTTCATGCCCTGTGACAAACTGGGGTATTACACACAAATAAGGAGTAAGGACTGGTGAGTGTTATGGAATTTAACAACGCAAACCAAAAGGAAAGAAAAAAACGTATGCATTTTGCGATATATGTGTGTGTGCAGTCCTTTACTGACAGCCACGTGTGTGGATCTTGTCGGAAAATGTCAAAGTGCTACATGAAGATCATAGGTTGATTGCGGTGTTTACTTCAATGATGCCACTAATATAAGCATACTCTACATGTATTAATTCCATTTCCGTTTTGTCCATTATGACTTTAGTTGATTTAAGGTGATCAAAAAACTTGGTTTCGAGCTTATATAGGCCTCCAGTTCAAAATTCATGTTTACCTGAATAAACAGTACAAGTACATCCTATTGAACATCATTTATTTTCATCAACAATTATCATAGAACAGTTTCTCAAGCAGTTTGTGATGCATTTTGAAAACAAGAGATGAGCCCCTGGTCTAATGCGCCACCTGGCTTGAGAAACCCGTTCTCGCATATAAAGAGTCACATTTGGACAGCGTTGAAACGATTATTTTAATCTAATTTATGTGCTGTTAACATCTTTGAAGTAATACTGTTGTCGATCAGCGCCACCTCCTGGACTGATCTTTAAAAAAATTCGATCTAATGGGATGGAAAACAACTGCTGAGGCATTTTGCCCTTGTTGTCAGATGGCATCTTGTGCCGTTTAAATGAAGCCTCGTCATCGCTTAAGTTGAAAAATGATTGACACACACACGTAGCCTGTACTGTCCCACTAACACATTGATTTAATAAGGGACACAAAGTGAAAAGAAAGTGGCGTTTTGAAATGACAGAAAAACACAAGCCGTAGTAAATACTACACAATACAAACTAACTCAATGAAACATAAATCAACGCAAATCAGCCAGCAGAGTATCAGTAATGGACTTTTATTGGTCATTTTTGTAAATTGCATGACTTGCATATCTGTTAAGTTTCCTGCCAGTAATCTGGTCTGCTCTATAGTGCAGTGAAGTATTGCATGTGTGTGTCTGTGTGATTGCGCGTGCATTGAAGAGCCGCTGAGCTTACAGCTGACAGGTCGGAAACACATGCACACGCTCGGTATTTCTGACGGTAGACACGTGAACTAAAAGAACATTTTTCTCTCCTGCTTAAACCACATCTGATAGATTATAACAGCTTTAAAGCCGCCTTTCCAATGCACATGACATTTTGACAAGACTGTCGTATTACGCCTCCTTGTGGCAGTCACGCGGAATATTCAGTTCTGACGTGCACCATGGGAGAGAAGCGGTTCTGTCAGTGTCTGAAATAAAGAAGTGCAAAAGCAAGAGTCTTTATTTTCTGTGCGATCACCATGGTTGAATGAATGAATGAACGAATGAATACTAGAAACTCATAGACCGCTAAAAAAATATTAAAGGGAATGTGAAGACAACATTAAAATATATGTTTGTATTATTTTATTACTTACATTTATGAACATATATGTTTTTTAATAAAGACGTTTTCTGATTCAAAAACATAACCAAATAAACTAGTATTTCTCATCTCGCGCGCACGGACCTGCTTGGACAACACTGGAATACATCACATCCGGTCAGCCAGTCGCATACGGTCTAGTCGCAGGAGTTCAAATATTTCAACGGAACCGCAGCTCAATTCGGATCCAATTTTTCCGCATACGGAGATGATCAGAACTCCACACAGCTCCCGGACTACTCTCCATTGGAAATGAATGACCTCCGGTCTGTCGCTTGACGTTTGTTGTGTGCAGTGGAAAGGAGGCTTAACACACACCTTTCAAAGTTGTGTCACAAAAACACTCCGTGATCCACTCGAAACGCTATTGAAACTTATTTTCGAAGTGCAAATTACCAGTTGTAAGTTCTGTAAGTTCTAAACATTCTACCGGAAGACGCTGGTCTCTATGGCCCCCTCCATGCAGCAGCCAAGAAAAGGTCTACACTAAGGCATTTGTAACTCTGCCCCATTTTAATAAGAGCTCTGGGAGCACAATCTCCTTTTAATTTAAAGATACAGTCACCAAAATGGCACAATTTGGATCAAAGCTTAAAAGGGTCAGTTTCAAAGAGATAAAAAAAACAACATTTGTGCTGTATTTTGAGCTGAAACTTCACATACACACTCTAGGGAGATCAGAGATTTCTTTTACATTTTGTAAAATTGGGGCATAATTGGTCACCTTTATGTAAATAAGGTAATTTGCCTTTAGCTTATTCCTTTTAATTAAAAAGTTTTGCTGTCCCTTTTCGGGTCCTTTCCTACTCAGTGTTGACTGGAGTTGTGTGTTTCAGATTGAACTGCAGGAGCAGAGAAGCTCAGGTCGTGGCAACAAGTCGAAAGACTCCAAGAGGAAGAGAAAGAGCCAGAAAACCGAAGGCGAGCCGAAATCCACAGAGGCTTCAGACTGCAAGAAGACGAAAGCCCTCAATCTCAGCCCACCTACAGACACACACACAGGTACAAAACACTTTTTATCTGCGAGAGCCACCACACGTCTGTGAAAGAAACAAACGCCTCTGCTCTTCCCTTGCAGATGTTGTGATGTTTTCCTGAAGCTGTGGAGGAGCCGATGGAGAACCATGAACCACAGAGACAGAAAAGCGCAGGGCTCAGGCTCATTCCCCCACATAATAAGCTCACGTTAATGTTTCTTTTCAACCCATGAAATGGATGATCCTGATCATACTAACCACTGCACTTTTTCTGTTTGTTTGTTTTCTCCTCCGTTTGTGTCTGTTCACTCCCCTCATCCTGAACAGTGCACTGGTGCAGGCGGGTAATCCTGTTTCTCTTAGAGGAGGGATAAAAGGGGATTCGCCCTGCGGTTAAGCTGTCTGTCTTTACAGTATAGATGTACCAAACTGTTCTTAACGCCAATGCCGTGTGCTGCATAAAAATGACTTGTCCAGGTATACACACGTTCACACACACATACTCGGCGGGGCAGAAGGGGAGACTGGCATTGGCTGCCACGATGACACCGTATTCTTTTTGTACAGAGTCTCACGTTTTTGTCTGGGAGGCTCGACGTTGTGAATAAACTAGTACAATATTTTGAAAGTGTGACAGAAAAAAACAAAGGCATTTACGTTCTGGTGCTACTTTCCTAAGATAGGTTCCTGCATAGTCCTTTTCCACTTCTTCATTGTCATTTCCTTTCAGTGCTTCTGTTGTGTCTCTTAAGCTTCCTGCTCTCCTCTTCCTCTCCACACAGCTGTACAAACTCTCACTTTAACTCCCTTTATGTCCATCTTCTTTTGTCGCTGGGGTTCTAATATTATTCTATTATTATTATTATTATTATTGGTATTGCTATTGCAGACACACGCGGTCGTGAGTTTGTGTATAAACATTTTCATTTCCATGTTGCCTTTGTTTCTTTTCACTCTTGTTAGAAAATAAAAGTTTAGAATTGTTTTAGGAATCGCTTTCATTTACTGTGAGGCGCTTTGACTTTCAGGAGTCTTCAGTTACTGAAGCGTTAGAGAGGAAGATGCTTAGAGGTGTAAATTCACCCTCAACCATCAAAAAATGTTGGTGACTTTTTCCTTAATAGAACATGAGGGAATTATAGTTTAAGTTTGTAGATTCAATTGGTTTTCGTGATGATAAGGTGTCCGCGGGGTGTCGTTAAAGTCTTAACTTTCAAAAACTAAACTATAGGCCTAAAAAAAGCTTAAATTCACTAAAATATTATCTTGTAGGTCTTAAATGGTTTAAAATTGGTCTTAATTTTCCTTTCAAAAGTTCACACTAAGATATTGCTTGATGCTATTAGCAGGTTTGGCATGCTGTCCTCGGAGAGAACCCCGAGCATGGAGATAATTGAGCCCAGGGCTCCTGCCTGGTCAATTAGCATGTCTTGAGAGCTCTCCATGGTGAAAAGGGATGGAATTCTTCCAATACAAAAATAAGGCAGTAGGATGAAATCTGTCTATTTACAGAGAGTCCGCAGAGGGTCTTAAATCTTAAAAATTGAATTTTAGATCTTAAAAACTTTTAAATTTGCTGAAATATGGTGTTGTAGGTCAAAGGAAAATTATGTATAGTTAACCAATCTGGCCATAACCACCCATGCAATCACCAACAACCCATCTCAAAACCTTTAACTTTTTATTTAAAAATGTCATTTTTAACTATATTTACCATAATTAATTATTGAATCATAATATTTGTTCAAAAGTTAACAACTGAGAACACTGACCTGGACTGATTGTTGTGCATACTTTTCGTTTATTTTTGTTTGTAAAACTTTTAAAACATGTCCATTATTTTTGTTGTTGTTGAAAAGTATTTTTACATCTTGAGAAACAGTATTTAAAATAATAATAGTAATATTAATAATATTAAATAAGTAATATTTAAAATATTTAAATTTGTAATTATTAAATTATCGTTGTATTATTAAATATATGAAATTATAATAATTTTCTTTGATAGGAAAAATATTTTTTCATCTGGGCCATTTGAAAAACTCCTAAGCGTTTAGCTCTGTATGAGTCTAAAATTTCAGTCATAATGGTCTTAATTTCTGAAGCTGCGGTTACACTAAAGTTTGAGCTTGCAATATTTTGTTGTACAGTGCTGCGAAAAGGGGCGGGATTAAACAAGATGATTAGCCATTTATAAAAGCGAGCGATTTTTCCAGTTCCACATTTTAAATTTCTGTCCAGAGAGGTCATGTTTTGATCCTCAATTGGTCTCACACAGTCAAGTGATGCGATTTCGCAGGTCAGAGTTCACCCAGCTTGAACTTTGCAACGCAGCGATCTGAGAAACTTGATGCATGAGCTTGCGTTTCTGGTCTGATGCATTCACATGCGCTTGAATTGAAGTCTATGGGTAGAAAAGTCCAGTGTGACTGCAGCTTTAAAGCCTTAAGTTTAACTTGAAACCTGCGGAAACCCTGATTTATTGTAGGCTTCGATTGATCTGATTGGGTTATTGCTGATTACAAACGAGAGACCAGCCGTAATCAGTCAAATCACATGCTCTTCCCAAAATTAGTTTATAAAACTTCACTTATGTAAATCAATCCAACACGCATCCAATCACCAACAACACATCTCAGTAAAACTTTCGGAAGAGTCTGTTGATCATACATTAGCTTAGGTTATGTTGGAAAAAATATAAGTACAACCCATTTTGAAAGTTAATATTTTTATCCATTTCTCAGTGAATATGGGTAATATATATTGGTGCATTTAAACAAAACAGATTAAAGAGAGAAGAAAGCTGAAAGCCTGTAACTGTGGGCCTGCACAGTTCAGCTCCCTAATCAAACACACCTGAACTAATTAAATAGGACCTGAACAGCACTTGATAATTACTGGCAGGTGTGTTTGATATGGGCTGCAATTAAAATCTGCTGGAAGGCAGATCTTCAGGTTGAGCACCCGTGCTGTAGCCACTTCTGTGGTCGGAAAAACAAACATTATGGAAGTCAATGGTTACATGATTTCAGCTTATTTCAAAATATCTTCTGCTGTGTTTATAAGAGGAAGAAGACACTCATAACTGTTTGAAACGAGGGTGAGTTAATTATCTCAATGTTATTTCTATCTATTGTTGAGGTGTCAATTTCCAAACATTACTTCCACTATTAATTATAATAATCCAGTGGGATTTTTGTTTGCACAATGGCTGTTTCTCAATTCCAAGAATGCAGAGAAAGGACTTGTGTTCTGGTGGAGTACGGTCTTGCCAGCCAGGTGTCTTCGGAAGAACGAACTCAGGGGACCGCGAGGGCAGAGAACGCGTCCTTTGAGAAATGAGATGATGCGTTCTTACTGATGGTCACATGACCTTCACGCGTTTTAAATGGTACATAATTTAAACATTACAGCATTCATACCATTTATTGTTTTCCCCCTTTTCAAGATAGGTTGGGTTAGGAGAAATATTTACCCTGCATAAAAACATTATAAATATACTCTGCATATAAAAATATAACAGATTTTAATACGAATTTCAGCAAACACCCTTAATATGTTTATTCCTTTATAAAGATGGTCATGGTAATGTTTACTTTCACCGCATCATTTACGGAAACTCCTGAGGTAAATAACTTGGCCTATATCTCTGAACTTTAATAATAAATCTAAAAAGAAATGCTGCGCTTCCCACTTCCAGTCGCAATGACTTCTGCGACTTCCAGAGCGAGTTTGGTGCTCAAGTCTGCATCGGTGCATCCTCGATATCAAGATCACATCCGGGAGGTTTCACGCGTCCTCAGTACTTGCGGTCTTGAGAATTGGAACTGAATTTTGGCAGCTGATGATGATGTTAAACGACGACGCAAGAACGCTGAAGAACGCATATTGAGAAACAGCCAAGGAGTCTACCAGCAGCCAGTGCTCCACACAGAGATCATCTGATCCAGTGTTTCTCAAACACGTTCCTGGAGAACCACCAGCACTGCATGTTTTGGAAGTTTCCTTTGTCACACTCCTTACAGCTCTTTCAGCCTCTGCTAATGATCTGAATCAGATGCGTTTGATTAAGGAGACATGGGAATGTGCAGGCCTAGTGGTCCTCCAGGAACATGGTTGAGAAACCCTTATCTAGCCCATCTGGAAATACTTAAAAACTGCTTTGCAAAAAATTCTGGAAAATTAAAGCAGCTATTGTTTTTACACTTGCACATATGTGGTGGGTGCAGCAAATGGTGACTTAATTTTGTTAGATACAAAAGAAAGTCTATTTAAACAGTACTGTAGCTTTGCAGGAAGACTTCCTGAAGTGTCCTGGAGATGTTGCCACAGATCTTCTGAATTCAGTCAGTCTTGAGTTTCTTCATTATGATGGTGAGATCAGATTTCTGCTGGCTGCTGTCTGATTCCTTGTGCATGCTGCAATCGATTCCTCTTATTCCAATGATAAATAGCAAAAAATGTTAAATCTAGTATTTGACATACTGACACACTAAACCAAAAGAACAATTAAAATCATTGTTTCCTAATACTAGTAACTTTAGTAAATGCAAGAAACTAAAAACATGGCATATGGTTTAGACTGCAAAGACTTTTTTTTTTATATACTGTTTGTCACCTTGGAATTATAAGGGTCTATCTGCGTTCTGAATGATTTTGAGACATTAAGCTTTTTGAGATACTGAGAAAAGGTTTTGCATTCCACATTGCAAACAGTACGTGTGTAACATTTGTTTTTTTTTATTTAAAAAGTCAATGTAAACAACATAAACATCCCATAATGTAAATAAGTTAATTACTAAGCATGTCAATAACTTAATTTTGAAAAAAATGTCAAATAGAACCTTTATAATTCTAAGGTGACCAGTTTCAGTTCTGTAATTGTAGGAATGTACTAAAGAATACATTCACCTGCTGAAATTCTGAGACCCAAGTGTAGATTTGTGTATGGGAGAGTACAGAGCTTTACAAAAATCTTGCATCGGCTAAATGATTAGTGTTGATTAAGGTAAGCCAGAAGCAAAGATTTCAGTAAACATATTTATTTAAAGGATGTCTTTACATGTGATTTAATCATGTATGTAGGAATTATAAGGTCTAGAGAAATTCATAAGACCAGCATAAAAAAAAAACAGGACGTTTATCAGTTTCAACTTATCGCTAGGGCCAGACGGAATCTGCGGACGTTTTTTACTTTTTCTGCAGAGAATTTTGGTAAAAGTCTGCAGATTTCTGCGGAATTGTTTTGGAAGTATCAAAACTAAAACCTTAATATATGAAATAAAAAATTATATATATATATATATATTATATATATATATATTTTGTTTTACTTTTATTTAATGTTTAATATGTAAATCCAATTAGATTTACTTTATTTGGTTAATAAAGCAAGTTTGTCATAATATATGTAGTAAAAGACACAAAATATTATTGTACAAACTGCATTGTACATAAATCAGACGAACACTTGCACATTAACTAAAATATAACTCAAACTAATTGAAAAACTGAATAAATCTAGATTTACACACATTTACTCAAGTTTATAAACAGAATTAATGATGGGCTAAAAATCTGGAATTTTGCACACACAAATTCCAGATGGGCCTACTTATCACCGAATATGAGAAAGTGTTGTATGTAGGAATTAATAAAAACTCTTCACATCTTAGCAAACACAGCACTGGCCATAATAAACAAAATGACAATTAAAAGATCATGGTCCCTTTTTCATCCTAAACAGAAAAACAAAAAAACCAAAATGACAAGTTTACACGTAATCTAAAGCTGACGTTAATGCTGTAAAAGGCAACATTAGAATGCTTAAATGTATATCAATAAAACTGTAGAACTGCATTTATCCTAAATGATCATCATGTGCATGTTTACGCATCTTGTATGTCAAGAAGACTGTCCAGAAGCTTCTCACACATGTAGAGACATCGAGGAACATGGAAGAAGCCTGAATGGTGGGAAAAAAGGGGGTAAA